ATTCTGACTATCTGAAATAGCTGTGGTCTGACAGACTAGCATTGATACTGGATGATGATTGAAGGTGGAATGAAAATTTGGATTCCGGAGAGATTCGAACCAACGATAAACGGGTTTCCGGTTCGGTACTCTGCCAACTGAGCTACGAAGGCTAACTGCTGACCAGATTATTTTATTATTTCACTTCATTCACTAAGGGTTTTGCCCGACTACCATGTGAATTCGTGACGCGTTACTATCGATTGATCGTACTCACACTAGCTGCTTTGTCAGGACTTCTCATCCGAATCCAAATCTACTTGAAAAAGAGAGGGGAAACATCATATAGATTATCACTTTGACAATCTGAGATATCTGTGGATTCTGGGTGATGATTGAGGTGCAATAAAAATCTGGTCAGCAGTCGCACCTCGTAGATCAGTTGGTAGAGCAGCGGGCTGGAAAGCCAGCGGCGCTGGTTTGAATCCGGCCGCGATCCAAAATTTAATTTCACTTCTAACCATCATCCAGCATCAATTCATATTATCTATCCTATGTACTCCCACTAATTTTATTATTCTAAAGAACACAACGGGTATCCTCGTTATCATTGACTCACAAATTACCCTGATTGGTTAATATTTTATATGTTAGAAGTTGTGTTTATTAGAGTGAAGCCTGATGAGATCTAATTAAAAACAATAGTGTTCACTCAACTTTATTTTTATAGTTTTTATAATGAGAATTTTTAACACAAATATCATACTTAACACTTTTTTATCGGAAGTACGGATGATGTCCAAGTCACCTGAGTCGATGAAGGTTCACAACCTCATCTACTGACCTACCATCGTTACCTAGTACTCTTCACCTGACCTCTACATTGCTCACATGGCAATCCCACCATACGCGAGCAGTGCTACAAAGAAACTTATTGTTATAAACTTGTAGCAATTTCGTACCCCCTACTTTCAACAGCCAAGTCTCGCAGCCCCTTAACAGGACAAAACGAAGTATACTAATCCTTTAACAAGTAGTCGGATATCTCACCAGTCAGCGCTATAGATGACGCAAGTTGGCACAATGAGTCTTTTGTATCAGTGATGAGATTTTGTCAACAACCAACCCGTTCAAGCTGGTGAAACTCGCCAAGTGGAGCGGTTGATGCCTCCCACTACTTCGAACCTTATCTTTAAACTGGGAGTAGTTGCAGACCGATCCTCAAGCATCATCTTATATTTGACAGCTGTAAAACCTATGACGAGCATACTCAAATTTCCGCTCAAGGTGTTCAGAAGACCCTGCATTTTGTCATTGTCTTCACTCAGCATGACCATGTCACCTGCGTACAAGTCAACCAGATGACTACTCTCCAGAGAGTGGACCGATCCCTGTGAAGTTAGACGCATCTAAGCTAATGTCTACTAATACGTCAATGATAAAGTTAAACAGGAACGGTGACAGCGGGTATCCCTGGCGAACACCACCAGTTGTCTCCAATTCACATGACAACTCTACATAAGCCCTTACGTGGCTGCATGAGATCCAGAGAGCTTCAATAAGCATTATATGCTTGTTTGGTACTCCTTTCACAGTTACGCTGCCACAACATCTCATGGTGGACAAAGTCGAATGGTACATCAAGGTCAAGAATTATGCAAATGTCGCCCACTAGTAAGTACATCTGCGTTCTCAAACCTGTTGGAGGGTGAAAATACGATCGACACACCCTTATCCAGGTGTAAAACCTGCCTGGTTTTCTCGTGTTCCATTTAAGCGTTGGATAACTAAAGACCCCAGGACCTTTGATACGATGTTAGCAAAACTGGTTCGTCCACTGTTGTCACAAGAAGACCACCATCCCCTATTCTATACTGGAACGACCAGTGAAGAAGAACAGTTTCGGAGGTCATCCCACACACAACTTCGTACCTACGTCACTATCCTAAATAATTCCCAACTTCCATATTTAAGAACGTCAGGCTGCGATTCATCAAGTTCTGCTGCTTTTTACCGTTTCAGGTTCGGAAAATTTTTCTCATCATCGAAGAGACTTGGGGACTGACATCTACGTCCCAATCAGGTTCGGGCTAGATGTTGGACAATTGCTACAGTCTAGTTGAACCGTTTCAAAGTGCTACGCCCAACGTTCTAACCGTCTGTCCTGAGAGGTGATCAGAGTCCCATCCTTTTGGGTGATGGTTTCACTAACCATCGTTTTCTTCTTGCCGCTATCTTTAATAAGCCTAAATAGTTGCCGGGTGTTATCTAACGTTGGTGCATTCTCCATCTCTCTTGCTCTCACCACTGCTCACGATCATTTCGAAGACTCTCGTTCAGATTAAGGTAAAGTTACTTTCGCTGTTCATTATCGTCAGAGCCAGATGGAATCAGTCTTCCCGCACCAATTAGTTCGGATGACGTCGTGGAAATCTAATGAAGTTTGCTAACCTTCGAGTGTCGGTATCAACTGTCTCTATCGCAGTTCCTCAAAATGAGGACTGCTGTCAATTTCAGATAAATGCTTAAGTATCTCCTACCTAAATAACACGTGCTTCACATTTTCGTCTTCAAAACTGAGTACAGGCTTAACTATCGCCTATTTTCAGTCACCAGTAAAGCGTAGGTATACACGAAGCTGTGCCAACGCATGATCGGAATCCAAGCAGGTACTAAAGAAAGAGCAGTAATCTTCCAACTATAGTTTATAGCAATATGATCCATCTGTGTCCATCTATAGGTTGATGTCGACGGATGCTATGTGAAACACAATCTCTCCTTACGCCTAAAGTTAGTGCTGGTCAGAAAAGAGATTTTCGGAACAAAACTGCAACGGAAGATCACCGTTGTCGGTTCGTAGGTGTGCTATTCCGTGAATAGTCCCAAGATGGCTTTCCGACTAACTCGATTCCCCCAGACGAGCGTTAAAGTCACCTGCTATTACGAATACATCTCAACGTTTTGCTTTCTGTAACAAAGTTGATAGCTTCGCGTACAATTTATCCTTTTCACCATCCTCACTGTAGTCGGCAGGCGGAGATTACGAATAGGCATCGGTTGATCTCACCGTCCTTCCCAGTCCTTACACATCCATTCGGTCGAACAGCACAATGATTGCTGTTAACTGGTATCCAGTCGAGGAGCGCGCTTTCGATCTCTTCGATAGTTCGCAATGGTCTCAAAGTGAGAGGTTAACAGAGAAATAAGATGTTTAATATTAGTATCAAGAGGTGAAGACGAAGGAGGAGGCATAGTTAAGGAGGATAGGTTATGTTTCACTGGTTCTTGTATACTAATGGAAGCATGCGGGCGGTTGCCAATTTCCAGCTGCCCATACTGTGAAAGACTATTTCTTATTAAAGTATCTGAAATGAAAAACAACTTGTGACCGCACAGATCATGAGACATCCAGGATTGTTGGTATGCGATTTGATTGATACAGAAAACCGGGACCGCCTGCACCGGAAGACCATGGGTGGGGAAGGATTGTGCTATTTTTGAGCTGACTTTTTCGAATTGCCTCTTCCTACCAGAAAATAAGTATCAGCATGGCACTGCTAGTCAGTGACAGGAAACATCTTACTGCAGTCACACACCATCTAACTAGCAGTACGACTTCGCTATCGGAACCCCATCATAGTGTAACAATTTACGTTACAACGGTAACTGCTTTTCATCCTACCACTATCCAACAGACCTTCCTGGTATGGTAGGACGACCAACCAGTGTAGCTGGTTGGTTCACTGTGATATACAAGCCCAACTAACACGTCAATGCAGCAGCTATCAGTAGGGACATTTCTTAACAATGCATAAGTGGGACCCGTCAAGAAAATCCTTTACTATTTACTACTTAACAAAACCACTTAATCTGGCAATGTTGATGACATTCTAGACAGATTTAGGTGCATCATAACTTTAAAATATTTAAACATCATCGTTAGAAAAGAACGTCAATAGTTGAAGTCAATAGTAAAGTTATCAGAGAAAAAGTAAAAAAAATTCAACTGATCCTAAACATATGTCCCATAAACTTCATAGTAGAGACGGTAGTTCCATGGGTCACGAAAATGACAGAGACCCTGTAACTGTAAGAAACTGGTTACTATACCACGATGTCCCATACAAATCAGTATGAGTTTTGAGTTCGAGGAAGAATATTTTTGAAAAGAATCTGTAGTAATGTTTCTGTTTCAAGAATAAGTAGTTTATATCAAACAACTGGAGTTCTAACCTTTACGAATCCGTAAACTGTCTTGAAATAGGTTTGAGGTGCACTCAATCTGTAACGGACGTCTGTCGAAGGGAGATTTCTACTAATAAATATTTCGAACATGCTTGGCATACGCAAAGTAACAGCGAACGCATTCTGCAGGAACTTCCATTCAAATTAGTGAGCCCGAGGCTTACTTTAAAGCACACGAACAAGAAATTACAAAACTTAGTAAACAGCGGTTAACACCAAAAGTTCTCATACTTCTATAACCTTTGAGATCGAATTAGAAACCTACCTATTAAGTATCTAGATCACCGAAATCTCCAGTACTGATAAAATCAACAACTATGAATATTTATGCCCTAAGTCTTAAGACAAGATTTCACGAGCTAAATTTTTAACTTTTTCTGCTGTAAACAATAAGTCTAGGATCTTTAAAAATACCAATACCCAAACATCATTTTGAACGAACTGAACTCTTTTAACGTTAAACAGAGAGTGACAACTAAGTGAGAGCTTCCAACATATATATATGTATATATATACAGAGGGGTGGTTCAGAAAAGCTCTAATACCATGGAAAAATACAGATATTTATTAGTATACAAATCAATTTTCTAATCGCCATTATTTTTACACGTATTTTAACAGTCTGAAAGGATAGATAAAAACAAGAAGGTAGTCATAGTTACACACAAAAAGGGAGTTGAAGTAGGAAAGAGACAGCTCATATTCAAAAGTCCTCATTACACGTTGGGGGTTGACCAGACGCACGATATATACGACCCTCAAATACTGGATATGAATTATGCAGTTGCTGTGTCACTGAGTCTTGAGGTAAGATAAATTTCAAACGTTTTACGCAAACTTGGACGCAGTAGTGGTAGTAGAGGACGGACTTGATCAAGTACACCGTTGCCAACATACATATATTTTATATGATATAATAGATCGGCTATTGTATCAACATGAACTAATGGTATACCAGTTTCTGGTGGCAAATGTTCATTGGACTGTTTCGTTTCGTTGATATCGGAAGAAAAGTCAGAGTCATCCAACTTTTGGCTGGTTGACCTAGCTAAAGTGCTATCCACCTTCCACACACCTCTGTACAGTTCAGCCGTTAACTAAATATAAAAATAAAACAATGGATTTTTTTAAACTGAATTAGAAACTACAAAAAATAAAAGCAGAGAATAACCCAATAACAACGATGCATAGTATGTTGAAGATCGCCTAAGCCTAGCATAAAAAGTTAACATTAACCTGATGAAGTTTTGAAAAGTAGCACCTGTGTGCACAAATTAAATATCGTATTGATTGGTTAGTTAAATTACTACCGAATTACACATCAGCGGAAAAGTAATAGGACCCGGGTTTAAGACTTCCTGGTGATTCTATGAGGCCATCCAACATTAATAGGAGTTCTCTACAATGGTGAGTATCCCAGTTTGATGACCGCAATGAACACTTGATCAATGAGATGCGGTCATTATTTGGGACTAGATGACATGATACTGGTTACTGTACTGCCATGATGACTAAAATGTGATAATCCTTATCATCTATATTATAAATTAGTAACTTATAGTGACGAATTCTTCTTAAAAATTTAACATTTCGATTAAATAAAATCTGGTTTCCATTTACATATAATTGATAAATATGACTAAGAGTAACCGGGTACTAGCTGTTCCTCCCATTTGTTTGTTGTGCAACCAGAAACGGAGTAGATTTGCTTCACAACTTATCGCCGAAAAGACCAACACAATAGTAAAGCTTAAATATTTCTTCAATACGATTGCCAAGCTCCCTTTCAGTACGTACGTTTGATAATTAGGAGTATCTACAACATACACATACACTAAGTATTTCCTTACATCAACTAATTTTGCTGGACGCTCTGCATGCAAAGACCCCATTAACGGTGCAACCATATAGAACGCCATGAGTAGCTGAGCTTCATTGTGCAGTTCAGGTAAAATCAGATCAGAAAAAATGCTGAAAAAAAAGAAACATGAACAAGTGATTCAACGGTTTTGATTCAATATTAGGTAGCAGCCATGCATCACACAACCAGGAAGAGTGTACTGAATGAGGTCTTTATATAAATGATTGATAATACGAAGCTCCTGTAGAAGTGAATAGGTTTCATTCATACTACACAAATTTTGGCATAGCACAGAAAAGAGAATTTATCAAAAACATTTGAACAGAAAATATCCTTAACCTATCTACAGCAGGATAGAAGGAGGTGGTAGGTGACTATCAGATAGTAATGTCATAATCATAAACCACGAGTTGTAAACAAGCCTGTTGTATATTTTATATCGCTAATATATATAAAATAAAATGTTCCTGATGATCACTACACTTGGGTGGAAACTTGAGTCATCGGTGGGTTTCAACACATCGACTCAGAGAAAATGGCCTGAATGAATTAAAGGATGAAAGAGTCGTCCAAGTACATATTCACTTCAAACATTAAACGTCACTGTCTTTGATTTTATAGCTTATCAATCATCTCCGTAGGTGATTGGACCAAATCTATCAGCCATTCTATTGAATATGGGTTGCTGTGTGGATGTCTTGATATTGCCTGTATTTTTCAAATTTGATATTTTTGATGGATAGTGGCTAGCAGTTGCATTTAGAACGCGGAATTCATCCTATTCGGTAATCATCAGCTGCACGTACCTGCCTCCCAGTCAGGTGATATTGTTTCCACGAACACTCGAACCCAGAACTGATCGATTCAAACTCCCGCAGTGTTATCCATCAGGCCACTGAGTCGAGATGACCACTCCTTGTATAACGGGTATAGTACAGTTTTTTGTGTTATAGCTTGTGAATCTCCCCATCATTACTATACATAGTTAAAGGTACTAAATGTTATTTCCTGTTATCATGTAAATCCGACCTTTGGAAAAGCAAAACAGCTATATCTTCTAGTTTCAATTCAAAGTGTATAGGACTGCACACAGTGATTAGGTACTTTGGCTTAAAAAAGTGACTAACATATATGAGCATGATGATGTGAATTGCCGCCGGAGAGAAATTAGTTTTCTGAGCATGTATAAATCATGTTTCTAGGTGATCCTGCACATTACATGTAGTTGCAATCACCTCTAGCTTCAATAGCCCATTGGAAGAGAGTATAAAGACAAAAGGTAGAGTCGTCAAACAACTACTGAATCTGTTTATTCAAATGACATAGAAAGTAGTCATACTCATCTACTGATAGCTTGCAAATCACCATCATGTGATAGGCACGAGGAAATTCGAAATGTTAATAACTCATTCAAGTCATAGATGAACTATTTTTGTGAGTATGGTGTGCGGTTTTTATTCGTGTTCAGAGTTTAATGGTGATAAGCGTTCATATTAACATAACTCATCACTCCTTCAAATACTATGCACTGGGTCTGTAAAGCCCAAACATTCTATAGGTACGATAATTAAAGTACAAGTATTCCAACAAACTTCCATACACATTGAAACAAAAACGATTTGTTAGAGTCTTGCTACAAACCAAGTTTTCATATCACCTTCAACACCCAATATTAATAAAACCACAGCCATCATAGATACTTTCATTAATAAGAAAAACTACCTTGACACATGTGTCATCTGCTTATCTATGGCCGTAGGGAATTTTCGCAGTAAGAAAGATTTCAACACTAAGACTTATTTGTAGGTTCCATCTTCAATTCACAGGACTGCAAACAAAGCAAAATGCACAGTAATTCGCTGCACAGTTAGCCAAAATTATTCGTTTAGTGACCCCATTATTTTGTGTATTTGATTATTTTTGAGAAAAAGTCTATTACTGGTTATTATCACTATCATTCCTGCTCCGGTGACATCAGTATTCACTCAACACAATGTGTTTTTTAAAAATACTATCAGTATAATTTGATAAATGCAGTTAACTTACCTAGGTAATAAGGCTAAATGAGTTGTGTTAGCATGTGCCCAAATTGAATGCCATAGATTAGCTTTAACTAAATAATCTTTAACATTTGAAGGTGAACCAGTATCGTCAACATTCCCTGTTGTAACTGGATTTGTTTCCATATTTCTATATGGTACCTCAGCATTATCAGTGTTATTTCCATTGACTGAACCAGAATTCGTTTTCTGGTCTAGTGGAAGACATACTTCAAAGAAATCCACAGCTACTTTTGGTGGTTTCAGTAGCGTAACGGTCTGAGGTTTAGACAATGTGATACCAGATGTTGGTGGGATAACATTTTCTATCGAAGTCAAACTGGTATTAAGCAATCTTCTGTGACGTAGAGCTCTAGAGGAACGACACCATTGCTTACTGTCATAGCAGTTATCAAAAGACTTCGGATCAGAAGTATCAGTTAACATCTTGTCCACATCCATCAAATCAGACTCTGATGTAGCGTCACAAAGAATCGGATCAATAAATAAGGTCACACAAAATTTGAGTAGGGAGAGGCGATAAACGTTCTGCATAAAAATGACATTAAAATTAAAAGGGTGTCAATTAAAATATGAAAAATATTAAAACCATATTTAAAGAAAATAAGTAAATATACAACATACGAAAGTATATCCATTTCCGCCATTGAATACAGTTGCATTCTACACCACTGACCTACTTTGTCGATCTACTTAGTGAAAACAATGTGAGTTCAAAACTCACTATCACTTACCAGTATATCCGTCAAAGAAACATTTCGTTAGCATGAAGATAAACTAAAAATAACATGAGATCTGGCATCATTACGTACTGGTCAACGTCGCCGCACGTCACATTGACATAAGGCGTCAAAGCCAAGGATAAAATCAAAATAATATGACCAAAATCCACATTGTCATGATACAAAAAGGAGAGAAGATAATGCACATAACGAAATGTGATATAGCAAATGAGATGAAGACAACGTATGAATACATTTGTACAATTTAAGTCGATTTGAACGACATATTACTTAACGGTTCAGCCATCTTTTTTCGTAATCTTGTCGATACCAATGTGAGATTTCACATTTCCCTCAACAGCCCAGAAAACCAGTCACACACCATACGGTTAGGTCAAAGTTTATCTACAATCCAAAACCATTTCAGTTAATATCGAGCGTTCGAGTGAACACTGACCCGGTATGCATAATATATGTCCCAAAGACCTTAATCAATGAAGGTTGGCAGCTGTATCAACTAACTTATGTGTTTTACCTACCACTGACCTGATAACGATTATTTTATTCACTTGAAGATCTCACCACATATGGTTGATGAAAGTGGTTGAATATGTGGAGTCTCCTCCACCGTTAACGATCATATTTTACAGCAAGAGATCAGGACACAACAAACTCCTGAACAATACACTCGAATCTTGGCGGCATTGAGATACCTGGCGAGAGTCACAAGCAGCCTAAGTTGGTAAAAGTGAGTCAAGCCTGAACCATACATGTTGAGATTTCGCCGTTCAACGATCTTAAATGGCTATAGTTTGCAGAAAAGAACGAACTGTACATCATAATCAGTTTCACCCCACGCAAATGAAATCAATATAAGCAACTAATAGATGTTTACTTATTCTATTTTGTTTTAAAGCACAGTCGTAGACCTACTCCACACCTATTTATACTCCATATATTTCTTATTCGTATGTAATTTCCATTTGCTAATTATCCTCTTCTCACAGTGCAATTTGAAAATATGAGAAGCTGATTCACTCCATCAAAACATCACATTTTATGCCAAGTCAATCATACAGTCGGTTTTTTTGAAGACTTTCGTACGTGACACAGGACTACTCACCATAAATTCAATAGTCTCCAAATATGAAGTGTAAATTATGAAAGCCTAACTTCAGAGCACAACCAAAATGAACTTAGTAGATGCAGTAAATGAGATGTTTACCTGCCAATACATTTAATTACGTTACATCTACTCAGCAACCAATTGCATAAGGACAGTTTCTGTGCTACAGTACCCCTCGTTTCAGATTGAATATTAGTTTTTTAAAGTTCATATTTTAATGGTTGCTTGTTGAATATATTACTTAATTTTCTTTGGAGGGAATAAGTATGCGTACAAGCTGTTTTAAACGCAAATACATAAACACTTAAGATTTTAAAATGAAGCCGTAGGTAGTTTGCCTATCAATTTAACTGTGAATCACCTCACTCTGTGAACTGGATAATCGTATCTTATCATAGACCTTCACATACCCCTGGATTATTCATCCCTCATTGTATATTAAACATATATAAGATTGAAGAGGTGTATTCCTTGTAGGGGAATAAAATATTGGAAGTCAATTGTTCTCAGTAAATGTCATGTCACTAACTAACTGATAACGAAGAAAGATCAAGCGAATGATCGAAAAACGACTAGCAACAACCTCAGTAGAGGTCAAATAATAGACACTACCCAGAAGTCGCCTTTGAAGTGAAGACAGGAGTAAAACGAGGCTGCCGCCTACTATCACCGATGATATTCCTGATTGTAGTCGACTGGATCATGCAACAAACAGTGAGGAGCGAGAAGAGGGGGATACACTCCCTGGACTAGGGAAAAGCACATAGAAGATTTGAATTTCGCCAATGATGATTTATGTCTAATGTCTTGTCGCACAAATTCGGTTTACAGGCGAACACTAACAAGCTGGCAGAAGAGGCAGGGCAGCGAAGACGGGACGTAGAGAAGATAGAGATGATGAAGATACCCAACCAATAACAACAAGCTCCAATCATCATCAACAGGAAAAACTTAAAGGAAGTAGTCTCTTTCATCCACCTTCCTAGGTAGCATCCTTTCAGCTACAGGCGGCAGCGGCACAGATGAGGACGTCAAAGCCAGGATCGAAAAGACAGCATGACAAACCTTCATTAACCTGAAATCAGTATGGAGGTCTACTGCATTCCACTCCACTCCACTCAGCACGAAGTGTGAACAAGATCCAGATTTTCAACACCAATGTCAAGTCAGTGCTGCTATATGCTTCAGAAACTTGGTGCGTCACGAAAGCATTTCCAACAAACTACAGATATTCATCAACAACTGCCACCTACGCTCGATACTGAAGATCAGATGGATGGCCAGAAAGAATAAGCAACAAGGAACTCTGGCCTGACAACGAACCAACCAAGAACCTATCACCCAACAAATATGCAGAAGGAAGTGGAGATGGATTGGGCATACATTGAGAAAACCATTCGGAGACATCACGCGCCAGGCCCTTGAGTGGAATCCAAATGGGAAAGGACGGGTTAGGCGTCCGAGGCGAGAATGACATGGAGGAGACCATGTGAGGAAGAAATGAGAGCTTGTGGGCAGCCGTGGGGCCAGGTTCAAAAGACTGCAGAGAAGAGAATGCCATGGAGGCGTGCTACTGAAGCCCTATGTTCCACTAGGAACACCCAAGAGAGAAATAATAATAATAATGAGTGGCAAAAATCTGCTCACGAAATGAAAGCCACAACTTACAGGTAAAATAACTGCCAAAGCGCCAATAATATTCAACAGCTGATTGAAATTTGGATATTTTACTCTAAAGTGATATCGAAAAAAGACAAAACGTCAATATTATATATATATACCTAAATGCATAAAAAGAACCTAAATGGGATGGAGACGAACAAAAAGTAATCGTTGAATTCATATAAAGTTACTAAGCTATCATAATAATCCAGAAGGCTGCATAAGGATAAAGCTGAATAATCTCCCCTTTCAGACAAATAATGCTGCTTGATAACACTATGAATCCTCCCTAAATGAGATATGGTTACTTATTCACACAAAACCTCTCTAGTGGATGGCGGTTTTCCTAAAGAATGCTAACCAGACCACAATAACTTTAATCACTTGAGAAAAATAACTTCATAACATCACCTCAACAAAGCACACTGTAAAATTATGTGCTTCTTTCTGTCTGACTTGTCAACTTTGTAAGTTGCTGCTATTGCAAGATACGTAGACAACACAAACAGAAAACCCTGTTGATGGGGTCTTCAAAAGCGGTTGCCGATTAACTCCGGAACCTGGTCAATTATCTACTGATTACGCAGGCGGCAAGTAAGGGCTGAAATGCGTAGGCTCCATGTCACTGTGGTGGGAGAAGGGTTGATATCAGTAAAGTGATTACTGTGAGATACCGCCAGTCTTGGAGGGATAACCCAGGTTAGGAACTCACTTCTATCCCTGTCAAGAAAATAAAGAAAGATACTCGAAACTCTGAAGCTTCCTCCGTTAGCAGGAGTACAACGATTGTTGTGCACACCGTTTTCATAGATAATTGCGTAATTAAAAGCCATCTTCATGTTTCGTGACGTTTGGTTGAGGCTGAACGGCACAGTGAGAACTAAAAGGAATAGTGAGACTCGCCGTTGTCTCTTTGTAATCTCTGCTTACGCACCCACTGACTGTAGTTCGGATGAAGTGAAGGACGAGTTCTACCATAAACTGTCTAACCTCCTCTCGAAAGCCAAACGTTCGGACGTAGTGGTTGTTGCAGGTGACCTCAACGCACAGGTGGGTAGACTGAGTGAGGCAGAAAGGCACTTAGGTGGCACTTTCGGAATCCCAGCTGAACGTACAGATAACGGTGATCGCCTATTACAACTATGCTCAGATAACCGCCTATTTTTAGCCAGCACAAATTTCAGACATAAAGAAAGGCACTGTCTGACCTGGCGTCCACCGAGCTCGACTCAGCGATGGACACAGATAGACCACATTGCTATTAGTCATCGCTGGAGAGGATCGGTGGAAGACTGCCGCTCCTTCTGGAGTACGTGTTTGGACAGCGATCATGCGTTGGTCCGAGCACGTATATGCCTGCGTCTCAATGGACGTAGAAAAAATTTGGCAACAAAACCACTACGAGTTCTGCTGGACAACGAAAACACCAAAGCCGTGTTCAGTGAGAAGTTGGCTAGGCAGTTATCGGAACAAAAGACTGTCACTCATCCAGAAGAAGCTTGGTGCCATCTTCAGTCTACTGTAAAAGCAGCACTGGAGACTGTAGCCGACTCCAAGATAATGGCTAAAAAGAGCCAGTGGATATCAGCAGCTTCTTCCAAACTAATGGATGCACGTGAATGCATCCCTGCAGGCTCTGAGTACAATGAAGAGCGAGCGCAACTTAAAAATAAACTGACGAAAAGTCTGCGCAACGATCGTGAACAGTGGTGGGCAGCAAAGGCTAAAGAGATGGAAAAGGCAGCGGCGATCGGTAACAGTAGACAGTTATTTAGACTTATTAAGGAGACTGGGGGGAAATGGTCAACAACAGTTAGTGAGGTTATAGCGGAGAAGGACGGATCGGCGATTCACTCGCAGGGAAGGCGACTGGGACGATGGGCAGAACACTTTGAGGAACAGTTTAACTGGCCTCCAGCCACCATTGCGCTGCCCGCTATCCAGTCGGACCCTGAATGGGACATAGAGACAGGTCCCCCAACACTAGAAGAAGTTGAGAAAGCGGTAGGTAGCCTGAAACGGGGAAGGGCAGCAGGACCAGACGGACTACCTGCTGAGGTATACAAGAATGGTGGTAGAGTTCTCTTAGTCAGGCTAACGGAAGTGTTAGCCAGTATATGGGAATCAAATACGATCCCCTCCGACTGGTCTAAGTCACTGATCATCCCAGTCTTCAAGAAAGGCGAGAAGTCCTCTTGTGATAACCACAGAGGAATCAGCCTGACAAACATAGTGTCTAAGATCCTAAGTTCTATAATTCTCCGACGCCTGAGTGGAGCTCGGGAACAGCAAGCCCGAGAAAACCAGGCAGGCTTTAGACCTGGCCGTGGATGTATCGACCAAATATTCACACTGCGCCAGGTCCTGGAACATAGGCATGCTTACAGACGCCCGACAATAGCTGTATTTCTCGACCTGAAGGCGGCATTTGACTCCGTTGATCGAGAAGTCTTATGGCAGTGTCTGTCACTGAAAGGCGTGCCTAGTAAGTACATCACCTTATTGAAAGCTCTCTACTCGAACACTTGTGGGCATGTTAGAGCCTATGGTGAGTTGTCCAGGGAGCTATACTCATCAAGTGGTGTCCGTCAAGGATGCCCACTATCCCCATTCTTATTTAATTTTATCATAGATATTCTTATGGAGGTTTCCCTCTCGTCACCTAATTACAAAGACGTTGACCGGATCACAGGTGAATTTTCCTTAGATCTAGAATATGCAGATGACATAGTCCTGTTAGGTGAAGACGCTGACAAGATGCAGAGTCTTCTGAACACTTTGAGTGGGAATTTGAGAATGTTTGGGATGCGATTTTCACCACCCAAATGCAAATTTTTGCTCCAGGACTGGTCTTCAGCGGTACCGCGGTTAACAATAGAGAGTGAAGTGGTTGAGTGTGTTGACCACTTCACTTACCTGGGAAGTAGGATCAACCCGGTGGGTTAGTTGCCGATGAGATTTCTGCACGGATACAAAAGGCTCGATTGGCTTTTGCCAATTTGCGCCACCTATGGCGCCGCCGTGATATTCGTTTGTCTATTAAGGGTCGCGTGTACTGCACAGCAGTCCGCTCTGTTCTACTGTATGGCTGTGAAACATGGCCATTGAAAGTGGAAGACATGAGAAGGTTACAGGTATTTGACCACCGTTGCCTTCGTAGTATAGGACGTATTCCGTGGTGTCACCATGTGAGTAATGCAGAAGTTAGGTGTAGAGTTTTAGGGAGAAGAGGTAAGTCAGTCGACGAGGTTGTGAACCTTCATCGACTGAGATGGTTGGGACACGTACTACGTATGCCTAGTCACCGATTGCCTCGTCACACAATGTTGGCTGAGGTGGGTTCAGGCTGGAAAAAGGCCCGAGGTGGCCAGACTAAAACATGGCACCAATGTATGAAGTCTCTGACTGTTGGTTTAAGCCATGTAGGACGATGCAGACTAGGTGGTTGGGGTCCACGGGACAAGAGGAACCAGTGGTTGGAGACCCTAGGTGATATGGCTCAGAACCGAAGTCAGTGGCGCAGATGTATACACACATTATCCTCATCTTAACAACGCTATACCGAATCTCACTATTTTGTCACTCCTCTTTCCTTTCTTCTCGTACTTTATATTTCTTTTGACTGCATTCACTTATCTTCATCCTTCACCTCACTACCTTTTTACTTGATGTGCTGATATGAGGTGTGGCAACTCGGACCGTTACGCAGTAATGCCTGGTCCTATGTTGATAATGATGATGATGATGATGATGACGTTTGGTTGACCTGGGAAACATAGGAAACCAAAACACAGCTTATATAAGTGAAAAACTTGGGCACTGTGGTAGAATGTAGTTCCATATTAGATTTGTTTATTTGATATAAAGCACACAGTGATACAGTATTATTTACTTGATTACGTTTCGAGCATAAATTATTGCTCATAATCATATCAATGTAATCACACTTCTTTCGACATCTGATTTTATAGTCCTGTCACCTGGTCTCTCTTTGTTTTTTGTTTTTGATTGGTAGTAAAGTTTTCCATATCTCTGGTATAGGTGTTGCGTCATTCCTATTACATGTGTTGGGTGTGAATTCGATGAACAAAGATTCAGTAATTAATCTCTCTCTCCACCTAGCTATATTAGACTTAAGTACAGTGGTTTTGTCCCATCCTATTGTGTTAATGAATGAATGAATGTAATGCAATGGCTGAGTGTTTTTCTAGGTTATTGATCTTATTGGGGTCTGTCGTTCTATGTTTAGCTAAATTCCTATGTTCTCTTACCTAACTGACCCGACCGGCTAGTTTGACCTATGTATTTGACTTCACAGTCATTACATGGAATTTGGTAGATTATATTATTTTGCTTAATTGGTTCTATCGGATCTTTTAGCCGATAGATCAATAACCTAGAAAAACACTCAGCCATTGCATTACATTCATTCATTCATTAACACAATAGGATGGGACAAAACCACTGTACTTAAGTCTAATATAGCTAGGTGGAGAGAGAGAGATTAATTACTGAATCTTTGTTCATCGAATCCACACCCAACACATGTAATAGGAATGACGCAACACCTATACCAGAGATATGGAAAACTTTACTACCAATCAAAAAACAAAAAAACAAAGAGAGACCAGGTGACAGGACTATAAAATCAGATGTCGAAAGAAGTGTGATTACATTGATATGATTATGAGCAATAATTTATGCTCGAACGTAATCAAGTAAATAATACTGTATCACTGTGCGCTTTATATCAAATAAACAAATCTAACAAAACACAGCTTGTCAGAAACGTATAACATTGGTAACAGGGAATCTCGAATATTTAAATGGATTCAATTTAGCTTTCTGCGTTCAAATCCACTCTGTCATTTCACAGACGAAAATGAAGAAGATACCCTGGGTTAACATGGACTAGCAAATAACAACAATCGATTACCTATACTGCTCAGTTTGAAAGCAGTCACTGAAATAGATTGTGCTGGAATTCTAGTACAATAATATTTCATTTAAAAAGTTCAAGAGCTCAGTGATACTAAATGGATATTACTGATAAGTGCGACAAATGAAGATAACAAGTGAATATACGCACACGCTAACCTCACCTAGTTAACTAGTTCACTAGTTACTAGCTGGTCCTTAGCCCGGGTAAACAGAGAAGGTTGGGCATACGGCTAGCAACCCCACCACGGAAAACAAATCTAACCGCTAAACAAACTTCAAAGCACAAACAAAATATAAAAAATAATAACAAAATTATTCCTTCCCGGAATCGGAGAGGCGAAAGCATGCCGTTGGTGAAAGCCTTCGGGAAGCCAATTGATCAATGTGTCTTCACTTCTCTCGATGAAAGCGAAAATAAACGTGGGACACGGAATATCCGAACCATGTTTGAACCCAGCAAGGCAGCCCAGATTGCAAACGAGATGAAGAGGTATCACATTGAAGTGCTAGGAATTTGCGAGGTGTAAGCAGATGGAATGGAAGTGGACTCTCCAAACTGTCAACTCGACAATCAATAATCTACACCTATATTATCACCCAGACGACAACAACAAGAACACTGAGTTTCCGAGTGGCTATCATGATGTCCCCAACAGCATCGAAGGCTCTCATGCAGTGGGAACCAATCTACTCCTGCACGATCAGGATCAGGATCAGGATCATGACAGCAAGATTCCACTCCTCAAAAGGAAGGTAGGAAGGAAGGAAGGAAGGAAGGAAGGTCACAATCATTCATTGCTACGCTACGCTACGCACTTACAAATAATGCAGAGCGAGAGAGGAAGGAGGAATTCTACAGACAACTGCAATCAACACTGGACAAGACACCACTCAAGTTGGCGATATCAAAATTCTAATGGGTGACATGAATGCCAAACTGGGAGCAGACAACACAGGAGGAGAACTAACCATGGGTCGAGAGGGCACTCGGTGAAGTGATGAACAAGAATGGAGAATTGTTTGCAGAATTCTGTGCATTCAACGATTTGGTGATTGCAGTGAGGTAGTGCGTACAAACACCAGAATGTTGACAAAGCAACACGGATTTCACCAGACACCAGAACACACTAAACATCAGATCGACTTCATCTCAATGTGAAGAAAGTGGAGTTGCAGCCTACTTGACACAAGGTCAAGAAGAGGAGCTGATGTAGGTTCACACCACTCACTATCTAGTGCAAGGAACCCACCCTCAAAATCAAGTTGAAAGCCTTCAAGGAAGTTGGTGATTGACCACAGTTGAACGCAAGGTGAACACCCAGAACACAAACTGAACTGAAGGACGAAACTACAAAGGGCATCTTCACGACAGCCATCAGGACAAAATGCGAGATATCGAGGAACATCCTTGAAGAAACCTGTGTGGAAGAACATTGGAAGTCTTTGAAAGGGATGTGGAAAGAAACCTGCACAACCGTATTAGGAAGGAAGAAGAAAGAAGACAAGATAAGGAATGGATCTCGATGGACACATGGAAGCTGATAGAGCAGGGAGAGGAGGATGGTGAAGCAGAAGATGAACCAGTGCAAGGATGTACAACGACAATAGGAACTGAGTACAGTGAATAAAACACTACACTGGACAAAGAAGTGAAGAAGAGTGAGTGCACGGAAAGACAAAAGACACTTCCACGACACACTGGCAAGTGAAGCAGAACAGACTGCTGGTAGGAGAGATAGAGACCTGACAACATTGTATCAAATAACCAGGTTACTATCTGTTATAGAGAGATCAACACACATGAAATCAATAATAGATGATGAAGGAAATTTAATTACCAGAGAATAGACCACTACCACCACCACCCGCACTTCGTCCAGAAATACTACCTGCAGCCGCTGAACTACAAGTGAACATAAAATCTACAACAAAAGTCGAGGTCCTGAACGCCATAAAGCTACTGAAATGCGGGAAAGCAACAGGACCAGATGGGATCCCACCAGAGGCACTGACAACAGACTCAGAGACAACAGTGGACATGCTCACACCACCATTGCAGAAGGTGTGGAAGGAAGGGAAGGTACCTGCCGGTTGATTGGAAGAAGGGTTGCCTTGTCAAACTGCCGAAGAAGGGAGACCTCAGTGTTTGCAAGAACTGGGGCGGAATCATGCTCCTCTCCACCCAAAGCAAGCAAAACATTAGGTCGCATCATCCTGGAGAGACTGAAGGATGCACTGGATTCAAAACTACGACCCAAACAGGCTGGCTGGCTGGATTCAGAAAGTACCTACGCTCGATACTGAAGATCAGATGGATGGCCAGAAAGAATAAGCAACAAGGAACTCTGGCCTGACAACGAACCAACCAAGAACCTATCACCCAACAAATATGCAGAAGGAAGTGGAGATGGATTGGGCATACATTGAGAAAACCATTCGGAGACATCACGCGCCAGGCCCTTGAGTGGAATCCAAATGGGAAAGGACGGGTTAGGCGTCCGAGGCGAGAATGACATGGAGGAGACCATGTGAGGAAGAAATGAGAGCTTGTGGGCAGCCGTGGGGCCAGGTTCAAAAGACTGAAGAGAAGAGAATGCCATGGAGGCGTGCTACTGAAGCCCTATGTTCCACTAGGAACACCCAAGGGATAAATAATAATAATAATACGTACATGCTGAGTCCGCCGCTAAACTGCAAGATATCGTTGTAAACAGACTTCTATCAGGAAAACATTAATGAATGATATTAGGTGGGTTTCATCATGAATACCAACCTGACATTAATAAATAAATCCCCACAAACCCTAAAATTGAATCTTTGTATATCCAGAAAACCATCTAAGCTAAGTTTTCAAATGCATAGGTTACATTTTACTCAGAATGTCTTTGTTATTTTTTCGTTTCACTAATTCATTTTAATACCCATCTTTCCGGTTGAGACTTCCACACCTTCCTTTTTCCTCCAATCTGTTGTTCTGATTGTAAGTTAGTTTTCCAAGATATACTTCTAAATATGCATTTACAGCATAGGCTACAAGTCAAATATTGTCATGTACAAGAGGATTATTCCATAGTCAAAGAAAACCGTCTTTCACTACATACATGAACACAAATACAAACAGCTAAGATTCCCTATTTAAACGATGCATCACCACTGCATGAATTTAATTGAACTAATATTTACACTTTTATGAAACAAACGAAATGCATTTTGAACTAGATTGAAATGAAACTGATAAGTGCAAAGCTGAAAATGACCGACCGATCAGACAGAAGCTCCGATACAGCTAAAGTCAATTCATCCGGTGAGATGTACTTGCACATTATTTCAACTGAGGCAGCATACAACCCTGCAGTTTGAATACAAACACTTTCTTCATAGTTCCATGTTCTCCAAGCGGCCGAATGACCAAATATTCCGTGTTTTTGATTACCTAGAAAAAAGAATATAAATAAAAACTCATTCTCTGGATATAGTGAAAGCGATTTATGCACATTAAGCAGCTACTACAGAAAAACAGTTTTTGAATTGACTAACTACAAAAGTTCAGTAAGTTCTTAAGCCAGGACGGACATCAACCAATGGCAAAATAACATGCGTGCAAGCTTTTCAATTTGAGAAAATGAAGTCAATTCTTCAACAAAATCTTCAACATAACGCTAATGATCACCTCATAATACTGTGTTTGATAGTTTACATGCATCTAAGTGCAATAGGATATCATTAGTTCTGGGTGGAGTTAGAAACGACTGGATTAATGTTCATAGACTGATAACAGTGCCTGGCTATCAAGAGCTTTTTACGCGAGTACCACTTCGAATATATGATCTACTATTTATCGGTCAAGTATACTATGTTTTGTTGACAAATAATGTAAAGCATGGTGATGTGTACAATGGTCAATCACCATCAAAGTCAAAACTAATGCATAGAGGTAGGTTTTTGAGCGGAGAACTTTAAGTAAGACAAATGTTAGTGATAATACGTGTGTACAAATGCATAATTCTCAACCTCATCAAAAATAATGATGTTACTAGTTAATAAGCAATCATTATTTGTAAGCTTAAAAATAGCGGGTAATTGGGTATACCTAAAAAATGGAGAAATATAAAAGTTAAAATTCATAATTAGTGCATAAAATACTGAAATCAATGAGCTATACCACACTCTACATAGCAGATGCAACTGTGTCTTTACCTCCTTAGTCCCTTTCATAACAGTGTATAATACAAACAGTAGATTATGGTCAATAACACAAACCATTAAACCTTGAAATTACTCATTCAAAACACTTTAAGCAATCCACCTAATTCAAAAATGATCGAATGGCTTTCTAAATTATGATGCATGATAAGTTCTCTAAAGACTATACAAACCAACTAAAAACATCGTAGCAGTAAGTAACCAAAGAATAAGTGTGTATTCACTCACTTTTACATATTGGATCAATTAATTCGAACAGGAAGTCTGAATAACTGGTATCAGGTAGATTAGAATTATACCAATTGACAAACATTGTTCTCAACTTTAGCTCATAAGAATCTGAATGAAGCATAACATTGATAATAGATTTATCAGTAGTATCAGTGGCAACAATATCGTTATCATCATTGGTAGCATCTGCTTTCTTGCAAATTGAATCATAGAGTAACTCAGATCGCTTTATACATGACTCAAGATTATGCCATCCTTGATGTGTAAATAAACCATTTGCAGTAATGTCATTCTGATCTGATCGTTTTGAAGCATGAATCGAAGTTGATTTCACTGCTAACTGCTGATGTTTACCAATTATGCAATGGACAATCACTTGACACAATAAACGATCTATAATATAAGGTGTCTTGTCAACATCCGAATCACGTGAAAATGAGAAGGCTGAAGCACCAGCATAATCCCCATACGACTGTAAGTGATACGATGGATACACTTGATTCGGCAGCTTACAAAATATAGTTTTCCTAATAAACTCTGAGTGATCTCGCAGTATTGTATAGCAGATATTGATCGGACGTCCTAAATAATGAAAATGACAACAAAATTGTAGAAAATCCCACACAAAAAACGCGAAAGGCATCCTCAGGAATAAAAGAGAAACATGATGCACATGATTTTCGCACACTGGGTTATCTGGCTTAGTATTACCCATAACAATAAAAATAAGTTATTAGACATATCATACAACAATGATAGGCATTAGGTAGAGGTAGGATTTTGAATGAAATTCGCAAGATATGATCAACGCCTAAAAAACTACCGGAAAGCAAGGAACAATGAAGTGGCACTCCTTTAAAACTTTATGCTACTGAATCCAAATCAACTCACTGATTCAGCCATTCAACAAGTCAAATCAAAGATGATTTGTCGGTTCATACTGTAAACAAATATCGCCACTAATATAACTGGAAAATTCGGGCACTGTCACGGACTCAGTTAATATCAACATGGAATCAGGCATTACTGCATAACAGTCTAAGTTCCAATGACTCATATCAGCACATCAAGCGAGAAGTCAACAAGACGAAAGATAGCGAAATGAGGACGTTAGAAGTCAAAAGAAGTGGAAAGTTATAAGAAAAGAAAATGGTTAAACAATAACGAAATTCAATTTAACAACTAAAACGAAGGTAATGTGTGAATGTATGTGGGTTACTGAGTTGGACTCTGAGCCATTCATCTGATTTCTACGTAGATGATGTGATGATTTCACTACGACAAAAATATGGCACAAGGGCAATGGCGATCCCATATCATAACCCACACGTTTAGGTACCACGCTTCATAGATTTAGAGCAAAACAGCCAAATGCAGCTCAGTACACTCGAAGCAATCGTAGACAATCGTATATCATTGTCATTTGTGTACTGCTTTGATATTTTGCCAAGGACATTGCATCACCAAACTTAATAGCTTCTTGAATAAAAACTTCATAAACAAATGAGGTATACTTAAATGTTACAGTAATGTTTAAGTAGCTTTTGCAGACACCGAGTGTTGTCTAACTTCAAGTTGAGAAAGAAAAGTTTACCGAAGTAACCAATAGCAGAATCGTCTCTCAAAGTGGCCGAATGATATGTAAGGGAAGGAGGTTAAAGTGTAATGAAAAAACTCCTCAACTTACAACTGCACAACACTCAAGGTCAACAAAAATTCTTACTAAACATTTGTATCTACTTTAATATCCCATGAAGTTAGTGCTCAAAATACTCTTATCTGATGATAGAACTTTTATGAAGAAAATACCGAAGCTCAGTGAACACCAAAATACCATGACCCTATTCGTCACCTACGAATCTTTCGCATTGTTTCACAGTCGCATATCACACTGATGCCATAAATGACATAAGATCCCAAAGCCCAATAACACCTTTTGCATTCATTTCGTTGGTCGCTGACCCATCAGCATGGACCTTTCATCCCAAGTTAGTGAAGTAGTAAACTTCACTCCATATTGTTAGAAGAGGTACTAATGCCGATCAGTCAAGCGGTAATAATTTACATTGTAAGGAGTAAGAATACATACCAAAGATTCACAAATTGCCATTTGAGGTTTCTAGCAGACTATATAACGTCAGGATTTCCACCTAAGAAAATTGTCATTTTTATACTGAGGGTCTAGTAAGAAGTCTCAGGTGAAGGGTTCAGTCCCTACAGAATTAAATGGGTAGATGAAGGCCTTAAACCAGCACATCTATGACGAACTTAAGTAAAAATGGAGATAGTGGATATCCTTTACGAACACTAAGAGACCTTCAACAAAGAAATGAAATCGAACCACCATATTACCGCACAACACAATGACATACACCTATTGTGTGAGGGTGAAGAATACTATCTGGTACCTCAAACCTCAGTAGGTGGGGCGGGGTTCAAACCCATGACCCGTCAGTTGGAAATCAAGTGTCTACATTACAAAATCTGTATCAGTTTGGTAGTGATGTGCATCATCTAAACGTCTATGACTATAGAATCTAGAATATTTGACATTAAGTTTATAAGACTGATCCTCCCATGCTTCTTACAAGAGGATTTCTTTCTCTTCTTGAAGACTGGAATAAGTGACGATTGAGACCAATCATAGGGGGATCATATCTGATTCCCATACGCTAGCTGATACTTTAGTCAATCTAACCAATGGTCCTGGGACTGTCTACTTGATATATTATACAGTGAAACACTTTTGTATTACAACTACATAAACAGTTATAGGATGTGTAATTACCTTCATGTTTAAGAGCCTTAAATGGTGTGTGAAACATTATGCACTAAATAAAACTGTTTTCTTTTGTGCTATATCTAACAGACTTATTTAATAAGGAATTAAGATTAACACTTTCCTATTTCTACACAAAGGGTCGGTACTCATCCCACAAACGCAGTGAGATAAAACCTGTTGCAGTGAGAGATTATCAATAAAAAAAAAGAATCAGAAAAGTGAAGCTAGAAAACGAAAAAGGTGAAGCAGTACTGTAATATCCAACATTTGAAGTCAGATAAAAGGCAAGCACATCGTTATCATTTTAAGCTATAGTGCCTAATTTCAATAATCATATCTTTTTAATATTCTAAAGCCAGTCAGTTGAAGCTAATGACCAAGAATACTATAACCTATGTTCAGTTCTCAAATTTCTTCACCACCTAGTAGAGAAGCCACCAACTAAATAATTGAGTAAATTCAAGGTTGTTTAGTCGACTTACTGTGATAACGAAACAGAGGAGCGACAACTCGACAGAATGGTATAAGTAAAACGAGTGGTAATTGGCACACAAGAAACTGTGTCAAAATAACTTCTAACAATGGTAATAAACGCAATAATAAATGACCATAGAATACAGGTAAATGAGGTGGTCTATCCACTTCCTCGACTGAATCATCATTATCATTACTGGAAGGCACTGTACAAATTTTTGGATAAGTAATCCACTGATCAGGAATAATTTCATGCAAGGCCAAAACACATGAAAACCAATATCGCTAGACAGTGGGTCGGGATGTAGTGATTTCCGCTTCGCAGTTGTGTCTTCAGAGAAGGATGGCTACAATGTAATAATAAAAGTTTTAAAATATTCGGTGACAGCTAAAATACTTGGGGATGAATGACTAATCTGGATTACGAAAAGCATGATATATTAATTACAGTATACTGAATCCAGACAATGAACCACGGATACCAAACGAATGAAAAGTATTCATAAACGGTCGTCAATTTGTTAAACACCTTGGTTTTTATTAGTTCATATTCACCAGAAAAACTCTAAACGCTATCGTTTATACAACAAACTTTTAGAGAATTTAGACGCTGTACACTAATAGAGAAGATATTTTACATATTTTGCTACTGTTCGGCTAATCTAAAATCTCTTCACAACCAGGAAATTCCCGCTGGTATATAGGGTTTCAGATTGACAAATCTTCCAACCATAAGTAAATAATGCAGGATTACCAGGAGAAAAACGATCAAGTATATGTAGTGGAGAGTGAAGATGAGCTGCAATTGTATCAATAAAAATCGTACGGCTAAATCTAATTTATTCGGTATGCTTTACTGCTAGCCTGCATCCAATGCAAAGCGACAGTCAATTTCTGTTCCTCCCATATGATCTACCTAGAGTTTCCTTCTATCCTTCATAAACGTCTACGAACTGATTACCAAATGCACACGAATAATGACTTTAACCATGACCATCGCTGAATTTTAACAATTTACTTCAGTAGCATTATTATCACTACTATTACTATTATTATTATTATTATTATTATTATTACTAGTAGTAGTAGTAGTAGTATTGCAATCATTATTAGAACACTAACATGGTACAGCAAGGACATCAAAAAATGCTCCACACAAAATGATTTAACACTATTTTGAAGACATAAAGCGAAATGAAGTGGATAAAAAGAAAAACAAAAGGAGCATAATGATTAGAAGGGTAGTCTATTAAGATACATTCCATAAAAAACATTCATTACTTTTCAGCAGCAGAAGATACAAGGAAGCTACAGCATGACCGCCACTGGAGTCAATTCTCAGCCATATCTGATAGTGTCTCAAACCACTGAGTGACGTGATCTCTCGGACCCCAATCAAGAAGTCGTGATGCATCTACAGGTGTGAACTCGATACAACTATCCTTCGTCCTACGGTGCCACATCATTCACTGACCACCTTTCAGCTTCTTCCATATAGTCCCAGGGTTAACAACCAATGAACGGTATGCAAGCCGTTGGGACGATATGAGCAACACTTGTGGAAGCCACCGAAGCTGGTGTTTCCAGATGACTTCACTCATTGAATGACGATCTCTACCATGCCCAAACACGCTATTGTACCTCAGAATTACTGGATACGAGCAATTCCAAAGAGATAACGATGATCAAACACATTGAGTCGTCACACATCCCCAGCTCGGAGAGCGCAGATTTCATAGGCGCAGAGCAGAACTGCTAGCACGACCTTTAACGATCAGACTAACGTTACGACGGCGTCAAAGGTGGCTCAGATTAACGTATGCCACTCTGGCTTTCGATATGTGGTTGGAAAGTTCATCACTCACACAACTACCCAGATACACGGATTTTTCGACTACATCGAACGGCTCACCACTCAGCGTGAGCGCAGACACACGCTCCTGTCAATCTTGCTTAAGTACTCATATACTTAAGTATATATATATATATATATATATATATATATATATATATATATATATATATATATATATATATATATATATATAACCACATATAAAACGTATATCCTTGACCGCACTACACAATTACTGGCTTCAAGCAGCAGTAGTTGTCGTAAAAGCACATAAATCTAGGAAACCCTAGCCATAAATAATAGTCCAAAGACATGTAGACTTTATAGGAGAATACTGAAAAAGGTGACTGACATCTTTTTGAACAAGTTACCACTAGACGCTTAAAAAAGGGGGTAAGCATTATATGCAGGAACACTATCAAGACCAGCTACTTCCTAAGCCATTGACGAATGGAGTTGAGTATTTTCATAACCAATCTGAAGCACATTGGTTTGCATGCTTGTTAACTGAGGTAATAATAATAATAATAATAATAATAATAATAATAATAATAATAATAATAATAATTAAAAAAACAGTTGGATAATTTTCAAAGGAAAGAAGTGAAGAGGGTATAAGGGGATTAAGAAATACTCCCCAAATACTAATGCTTGATAAAACGAAAGAGGAAAAGAGATGACACTTATTGAGACTATCACTTAGAAAAAAACGTCTTTGATAACATACAAGAAAGAGATGAAGGGAATTTGAGCTGAAGTCTGAATTTTTAGTTGGCGACTGCTGACTCTCCGTGTAAACGTTAAGCTGTCTGACCGCTGCAACAATCATGAAAATCGGAAAACAAAGTGTGAAACGATGTGTGACTAAACAGCCTGGCTGCAAAAGTCTTGAAGGATAGTGATGAAGAATCACGATAATCAGACATCATCATCAAGTCCAAGTGGTTTGAAATGCTTGTTATTTCATCCCTCGAGTAGTAATGAGAAATCTTTTATGACAAACGCTAGGAGTATCAGTTTAATTAAAAAGTTTCTAAAGTCTTGGACTTCATAATCATCTGATGCCTACCTTCTAACAAAAAAAACAACTCGGAAAAACTGGGAACGTTCCCGACCTAGTTGTCACTGTCGACCTTATCATCATCCTCTGAGATATCTTGGATTACAGAAACATTTACCAGTATCCAACACTGGCTACAATTCTCGAATTCGAGACAGCATTCGACTTTGTAAATCGAAACGTCTTGCCAGTTTCTTAAAAAGAAAAGGAGTTCTGGACAAATATCATTTTCACGAAGACTACTCAAAAACTCGTCGTGGTGCGATTGGCAGTTTTTGGGTATTGATTGATTGTACAGTATTTTCTATCATGGATTTAAATCAGTTTCAGAGACGTTAGAAACATAAGAGAACTGAAGTTATTTCGTCCCAATTTAGGACTCATTAGCAGTGTGCACTCGTGACCCACTACCGTCAGGTATCATGAGAAGCACGCCAATATTCAGCCACTAGGTTGGAATTCAACAGCAAAATCTTCCCAATTCCATCAGTCTGCGATGTAGCATGACTACCAACCAATACCAAAGACGTGCATTTTTCCACACACATGACTGCCGACTAGTGCAAAAATAGAAAAAAACACGCAAACAGAGCTCCGAAGCTTTCACTGCTTCTTCAACCGACGTTGATCCGAAATGAAAAATAAAACCTATGGTGAACCATTCGCTTAGTCTTCTGAGTAGATAGATGCCCAATAGCTTCGTTCCTCCAGCTTTATTATAGATGCGCTTAGAAGAAGAATTTTTGTGATTTAGTTCAAATCCGATCAGAATTCCGCACATGTATACACCTTTTGTGACCTTCGAAGCCTTAAAATATTTATACTCTCTCAACTCACACACTTTTCAATCCCTTTTTTGAATTCTGTTGTGAAGTGTAGCAACTTGAAAAAATGCACTTTGTACCAGGCTCTAAGTTGATTTGTTTGTGAAGTAAAAAACTGTACCTCCAAAGTGAGATATTAACTGCTGGAGTTGCGGCAAAATAAAGAAAGACCAAATCACACTTAACACTGCATCCTCTTTGAAGCAATTAAATTATAGTAATTTATCAAAAGAATAATTTGTTCTCAACTGTACGGTTGATTTAAAGCCCTGTAGAGTGGAAAACAAGAAGGAATACACTATTTCATCACAGATGTCTTCAAAGCAGAGACAGAGATAAAGAAATGCTAGAGTTAAGTGTGGAATTCCATGCAACCAGGGTAAACCCAGTAGACGAGGGTATACCTTGGAGTTTACTGAAATGAGTGGATCATGTGTCATACATGAGGTGCAAATTTGGCTGAGGTTAAAAAATCTTCAGGTTGGCTGTGCCAAGGTATGACATCAGCTGATGAGGTCACTGAGAGTTGATATGGGGTTATGATGAGATGTGTACTATTTTGGCTAGGCTCTAGAAAATATCAGAAATTGAGGGTTCATAGACCTAGGCAGTATGGCTCAGGACCAGTCACATACTGTTTATCTTATTCCAAAATCATAAACATCTAAATACACTTCGTATTTGTGTCCCTCATCAATTTGTCTCCTTTATCATTCATGTAAATATCCTCCTGTGATACTGAGTATTACAAAGGCTTGAATTGAAATAGGTTTAAATGAATCTTCGTATTCTTCTATATGACCACTAGTCAACATAACTTGCGACTCTCACAAATCCATAGCTACCAGTATCATACATGACTTGAATTCACACCATTCCTTTACATTGAAGGATAAGACTAGACTTTTCGACCTAGGGCAGAACATCGAATTCACTAGATGAGAATAACAGCTACAGTAAAAATAAGAGTTGACAAAATACCAATAACTAACTTCATATTTTGTACTCAGATAGTTTATCCCAGTTATCAGTTGCTCAGATTGTGTAAACATGTAAACGATAATTCGATTCACAGAATCAAGTTGTGCATGTTGATACCTCGTGTGCATCAGCTGTTCGAAAACCAAAAAGGAAGGAAAAATGTGATTAATACAACATAGAAACAAAATTAGCAAGCTCACATGTAACATTAAGGATAGATATTGAGTGATCAGGATAGAATGGTAACAAAGTCAAATGCTTAAAGTGAATTAAGTGGTTTAATCATCACAAACACGTCAATCACATTCCCAAAATCTGAACACTGAAAGTAAATAAACTGTGCCGAAGAAAACAAACGATGTTGCTTAGTCTCAAAGCATTTAACCCATAAGAATAGGATTGGCAGCCAAACAGTGTTGATTCTATTGGTGAAGAGAACAATACTAGAATAGAAGATATTGTTCGTTGGAAAACTGTAATCACCAGCGACTGAAATGCTGGACATTACAATGATGTGACTATTTCCAATAACATCCTTGTCCTGCATTCCAGTGCTTCCCTATATCTACTGCACATTAATGCCCTTACCCTCTGTATTTCTACCCGATATCCTGACTGACTGACTGACTGACTGACTGACTGACAAAATCAACGTAGAACATCCCACACAGATGTATCGGCTCAAATTCCCACACTTCACAGTAGTACACAAAGAACAGATGGATAGAAGACAGTAATTGATACCAAATTAACAAAGTTGGATGAGAAAATAAACAATCTGAAGATAACGGTTTGTACAAATATTCAAGCTTGAAAAGATGTCAAAGAGCAAATACATCTGCACCATTGTAACCGATTTCCAGGGATGTCGCCAACAGTCCTCAAACACTGACTCCTATAGCCTCAGAGACCCCATCTAGGTAGCTGACTTCTCCTCACACGAGTCAGAGTGAGTCATCGACTTCATCGACTGGTGCCACATCTTGGTCTGGCCATCTGAACTCTCTCCCAACCTGATTCAACTTCCCCTAGCATGGTACGTCGAGGTAGGCAGTGGCTCAGTATGCACAATACATGTCCAAGCCACCTCAGCCGACTAAAGTTCACAACCCATCAAACGTGAGCGATGCTACAAAGATACCTATGATCAAAACCCTGTAATCGCTTCATATGTTCTCCTTTTAACGGTCACATCTCACAGCCGTACAACAGAACAGAACAGATTTCAGCGCAATCGACAGTTGTCAATACGCGTTTTCCCCAGAGCTTCAAACACACTACTTATATTCATTTTCATAAGTAGTTTTCACCATGCTGGGATAATGGAGTTGAAACGAAATATTAACAACAATAATGAATCAAATATGTAACCTAAAACATATCGATATATGGTACTGCTGTCTCAATAACTAAATTAATTTGCTATATAAACCAAAGTTCCCCTTTTCCATTGTTTGCTTACATTCTACGTGAACGGAAAACGGATGCCTTTTCCTACCTCAAAACAGTAGAAGTTTCATTTGAACCACTTAAATGGAAGCCAAGCAAAACGCCAAAAATTTAAAACTAACTTGGACACCGGTCAAAAAGACAAATAACACGAACAGCACTGTATCCTATTATAGATATATCACGAGAAATATAGTTAAGGTGGCTTTTTAGTATATGATAATAACCGTATCAATTCACATAGCCTAATTAAACCGAGAATACACTGTACGCGTTGATGTGCGTATTCAGTCGATAAGATTTTAATCAGGACTTACAACCAAACAGCTGTCATGATTACTATCCCTTGACCGATTGGCACACTTTGTGAACGCAGCCAGGACTTTTATAAAGTGGATAAGTAATAAAAATCGAGGCTAATTACAAACACCACACAACTTCCGTGACTTGTCCGTGGTATGCATCCAAGATTGGGTGTCAATATCAAAAACGAAGAAAAGACTTCCAGACATTTAGCCGTAATGCATTAATTTTTACTCTATGTTCTCTGACCAGACTGAGATAAATAACTCAGGAGGTCAGAAATTACGAAGTATAGATAATAAAAAAAATATTTAGTAAGGTCTGACTGTAAGTTCATGTTAAACTGACGTCGATTTACGGTGAGAACTATAGTAAAAACTACATTAGTATTTTCCACGTGTATGAAGTTACAGTTTTTGGCATAAGATTTTTTAAAAAGATATTCGTACACGAATGAAGCACCTTGTAGTCTTGAATATAATGACCACAGATCAATAAGATTTAATTCCGATGAGATTAGGAACACAAATACATCCAGATAATTCATGTCGGAAACTGAACTTCAGCTAAATGTAGAATGTTCAAACAAGCACACCTGTTGAACCCTTAACCCAAGTGTAATTCGCTTCTTTGAGCAGCTGTGAATAAAAGATGATGATTTCACATTAACAATGAACAGAAAAATTGTTACACGTACGTCACTGACAAGACCAGGTTGATGATTCGAAAAGTCCTGGAAACAATACTCACCAGAAATAGAAGGAGACGATCGAAAGGAATAATATGCCAGCATATACAAAAATCAGATAATGCAGAAAGACACTGAAAAAAAAAAATTAATTTGAACATGTAAAATTGCTTCATAAAATAACACAATGTAGCATTTTTTTTAAAAGGAAAAAAACCACCTGGATTAGAAAAGTGGAAGAAAATCTATCTGCAGGTGTAGAGATGAGATAATATTGACGAACTTTCATTTTACTCGGAGAACAGATAGAGAGTAAAAGTAAGTGGCTCATAGTACTCTCTTGCCTTTAACTAAACTTCAAGTGATGACAACTCTCGATGAAAGTATTCAACAACCGAAAAAAAGAACGATTCTACATCTGCCTAGGAGGAAACAGTTTGACAATAAGAAATCACTCTCTGCATACATATACAAATGAACAATAATATGTATAAGTGTCAAAGCTAACCTTTTCACTGGTAAAAGTGACCTGCGTCGGGAATGTCAAGCAAGCCACCACATAATCGCACAGCAAACGAAGTTGCCGACTGAAAAATCTGGCAGATATAAGATTGATGAGACTAAATGAATATAAGAAAGAAGGAAAGAAAGATGACGAAAGTTCGTTAGATTTACATATATATTTGTAAATAACTTTTTTATGAAACAATGTTCTTAGAATATCTCCGATAGTTAGTCAGAAAGTTTATGATAATCTTATATATGTAGTTGTATGCTATTTCGAGCAAAAATAAACGCAAGCATATTAATGGAATATCTTTCAGAGATCGCGGAACGATGCAGCACAGCTGTTCCATCATGTTTCAGGACTGTCTAGCAGTACACACTAACAAGGAGACAGTTTCTTTACGACACCTAAGCCTTAAGACCACTGACCAAATTTACAGTGGTCGCCATTCGAAAACACAATGTACTACCACAGATGCTCTGATATTGTACATGCTTCCATTCCAATAATTTATATTTTCTCTAGCAAGTTGTCTCCTGCATGTCAGCTCAGTAGACATTACAGGTGTAGGGCAACAATGAACCAAAAAAATCTACAGTAAATTGTATTAAGAAATCGAACATAACACTGTATATATATATATTCAGTTATGTGTTCCAACATCAGTTACCATCATAATCACCACGAAAATTACATCGACGCATAAACAGACGAATAATACAGTAGCATAATTTACGTAAGCCTATAGCGAGCAGTTAACATGAATAAGGAAAGAATCGCCTAATCAACTAACCTGACAGCTTTGCTTGGCACATTCTGGTGTTCCATGAAATACCGAAACAGCAAACTACACATACAGAAAAAAAGAAAAAGAATCAAATCTTCGACCATAATGCATAAATTCATTAACCAAATGTCTACAATTAATAAATTGAATATTTATTTACATTTTATCATTTCCAATTGATCTACTGTTATTTCCCGTTTAGCAAAGAGTGTGCTGCATGTATTCAAACTTGTTATATCACGAAAATAATCTTATACTAACGCTTCCTTGAAATTCATACGGTAATAAAGTACGAGTATTGTTGTAACAAATAATAATACTTTATGAAAAGAAACTAATTAAACCACCCACAGTATATCAACCTACCAAAATAAAACAGCGGAAATAACAAGAAACATAAACTCAGCCTGTTATTTTTTGTAGAAATGAATTTTAATTTGAATGCACCTCTCAAATCTACAACAACATAAGTTTACAATAAATGATAATCTATAACCTATGCAAATCAGTTTACATTCAAACATCTATTCATAGGAAATAGCCTGACGTGTTAGTCACCCTTTCACATCACAATGATCTAACGCACTATGGTAGTGGGAACATTTAATCCTTGAGGTCCAGTGATACCAGAAAGATAGCTTATATTTGTAAAGTCACAGACTTTCTAAAATATGATAACTAATCATTCAGTGTGAAATTGTATGTCTCTTGTTGTATGGCTAGTTTATATATATATATATATATATATATATATATATATATATATATATGCATGTGTGTGTGTGTATGTGTGTGAGCTACCACTCATATTCCCTTTGTATCAGACAAAAAAGGTAGCGGGTGACATTGTGGTCATTCGTTAATTTTTAGAAGTACAATGGGATATATGAGGTCGATATGTGTTCACTTCAGGTGGTATATGGGGCGGGTTAGTATAAACGACATTTTCAATGAATTGGAGAAACAGAGTAGAAATTAGTGGTAATAATAATAATAATAATAATAGTGAATCAAATCAATTCAGATTGCGTTGCTGTTGGATGCAGAACTAAGAAGTTGAGACCGGTGTTGACGTAAACGCTAGAACAATCTTTCTGCCTACTAATTAGTAATTACCGAGAGGCGGCTAATTGTAGTCCATCTCGTCTTTTCAAACTGTCTGGATTCGCCCATATACGTAGGGCTTCGGCTGTCAATCTTTCTTGGTATGACTCCAAACCATTTTGTACAACCTTGCCTCCGTCGAAGTCAGTTTACTATCCTAGTTCTATGGAGTGTAACGCGATTGTCGATTTGCTTTCTAGCGTCTTAGTTACCGGAATGACTATGTCACCTGTGACCTTTTTTTAAGCTATTTACAATCAAGGGGAATTGGAATGGTAACAAACACACATACATGCAACAACAAGAGACATACAATTTCACGCTGAATGATTAGCTATCATATTTTAGAAAGACAATGACTATACGAAGAGGATTGGACAACGAGATTGAATAAATATCTTTTGATTCATTCACATATCCATGATATTTTAATTTCGATTATTTCCCTGAAGAAGCTCGGACTGAGTCCTCCATGCGAAACGTCGGGATTATTTCATTTCAAACACGCTTTGACTTACACAAACACAAGCTACATCCAATGTCAGCCTTTTACTTAGCACCCAATATACCTGCCATACTATTCCGTCAAATCTTGTCATAGTTCATATAAATAAGATGCTAGAAATGTTTGTTGTATAGTCGTAAAATAAAAAACAGTTACCATTATAGTGCAAGTGGTCATTTTAGGAAGGAGTACTGCTCGCTGAATGGAGTGTCACAGCAGTAAACATTCTACTGGATATGACAAGAAAGTTATGCTGATGCTGCTTATACTATTAAAAAGGGTCGGAAAAGGTTGACCTGGAAAACAGCACCTTCCCTCCTTGTACCAGTAATGGTGACATGCGTTTTTTTTATAGCTAGATTCAATACAAAGTTAAATTTCAAATTCTATAAAGGCTATGTGCGATCGGTCTCAAGCGGATATCAATTGGCTTCTGTGGTCACACATACCTATTATGAATCCAATTTCTTCTTCAGGTACTTTAATGAGTAACTTCCCACGATTCACGCATCCCAGAGGTGACAACTGATAATATAATATAATATATAATAATACTAATATTAAACGTCTTATCTCTCTGTTAACCTCTCACTTTGAGACCATTGCGAACTATCGAAGCCATCGAAAGCGCGCTCCTCGACTGGATACCAGTTAACAGCAATCATTGTGCTGTTCGACCGAATGGATGTGTAAGGACTGGGAAGGACGGTGAGATCAACCGATGCCTATTCGTAATCTCCGCCTGCCGACTACAGTGAGGATGGTGAAAAGGATAAATTGTACGCGAAGCTATCAACTTTGTTACAGAAAGCAAAACGTCCAGATGTAGACCTCGAGGGGAAAAAAACGTTCCACCAGCATAACTTTCTGAGTCATTGAGATATGCAAACCCAGCCACCCCGCCAAAGTACCAGCCAATGTTTGGACAAAATAATGGTGATTATGAATACGAACAATGTTTCTAAACTTTTTCAAATGGATAATACAGAAACTCACCATAAGAATGCGTTACCCCGAATAACTGAGTTATTCCAATCCATGTTATTATCTAAAATATTAACAGAATCGAAAAGGAAGCTTAATAGAGTTCGTAAGTGGACATAACTGAAATATCATAATGCTTCTCAGAAGCTTTCTCCTAAGACATTTTTGTAATGCATAATATTTCATATTATTTCAAAATTCGTAGGTCGGATCACTAGTCGTGAATAAAAACATAAAGGAAAATTGGTGCTGGGGTATTCATCAGTAATGATGATCAGCACCTAACACCCATACAGTACCACTTTCTGAGAGACTGAAGGTAAAATAACCCCATACAATAGCTGGATATGATTGTTTAAGGCTCCTGAATAACCACTTGGTGAAGAGTTTATTCTCACTCCAACAACTTTAGTGTTCGTGGTAGCAGAGAAGTATAACAAAAGTAGGTATGACTCATAGATTAGGGATAAAATAGAAGACACTGAAAATGTGACAGATGAACACACCGTGTTACGCATAAATAAAAATGGTGCATCAAACAGAATTATATCTAGCATTTTAAAACATAAGAATTTAGAACGCAAGACACTTCAACAATGGTGGTATAAAAAAGAAACGGTAAGTCTACAAGCTTGTCAGCACTATATTTACTGACAGAGCAGTACAAAATGAATGCAAATTAATCGTTTCTAATAAATTACAATATATATAATGTGTACAAAACAATATCCAAAGACTTAGTAGAATAGTAATAATTAAAGACGATGAAGATTATTTCCTCTGATATTTACCTAAATGTAAAATATTTTGGTCCAAAACACTAAGTTTTCGCAGTGATGAAAAAAAAACAATTTCATCCTTACCGAATACAAATTAATGGTTATTTCTAAATACCCTTATATCACCGAAGAATAATAGCCTCATAGCATTGAGGATGAACTTGTATATTGTAGGTGAAACAATTACCTCTAGATTAACCATATAAATCAGGTAATGCAATTTCAGGAATTTCATCCACTAACATTCAACTTACATAGAATGGAAAGAGAAACAAAGTCAATAGTGTAATTTAAAAGTTATGAAACAAAAATTCTGCGTGCTAGACGCAAGATCTACACTTTGTCTGGATTGCAGTCACAAGTACGTTTTGTATTCCTATATGTTCCCTGATTCTCGAAGTTAGATGAATCATGCCTTTCGGTTGGTCTAACAATTAAGAAAGAAAATTAAAACACACTAGCATAATTTCAATGCATACCACATACATAATCACCTTAAACATATGAATAAATATAAATATGACTTACTGCAAAAGCAAGTATACTCTTCTTGCATCATTGAGCAAAGTTTAAATAGACTAGCCGACTTATCTGTAAATGGTAAACCTGATTCCATAGATTCTACATTGGTGGAATCAGATGATGAATAGGTGCTACTGTTGAATTCTCCACCAGTTGGATTGGTTAGTTGACGGATAACAAGAATTAGAAAATCAGGCAAGCGACTTGTAATTATCTGAGGCAAATCAACTAGGCTGTTTGCACCACACTGTTCATACATTGAACGGATTTGTTCAACCAAATTCGGTCGAATTCCACTAACTTCTTCCAAATCTAATTATTTTTAAAATAAGAGTTCAGATGTAAGATGTAAGGTGGAAAGAAAAAGCTACAACAATTTTCAACAACATGCAGTATCAACCACATAAAAGTTACATCTTTTCAATGAAAAGACGAAAGAAAGAAACTGAAAAGCTAATAAATATTTGGATGGCAATGATATTTGCTCTAATTATGACAACATAACTAATGAATAGGTCTACGCTCTGTGACTCATTTCTGGATGTCACCGAAAGTTAACAAGTAGAAGCCTACTGCATACTATAAAACTCAAACCAATCAGAGAAACCCTATGGAGTGATTCCATCAGTGATTTATGCAACTAGATGATTCTTTCATTCTATTTTCTAATGAAGCTAGTATGTCACATAGATAAAAGCTGCAACCTAGTTTACACAACATTTGTCACAGCCTCATCAGTAGATATAAGAAAATAAACCTAACTGGTGATTTTCAAACTTTATCTACTACTCACACTGCCAATTCGCTGATTCTCCTAACTGCCTTCAGGCATGAATAAAATAATACTTGTAAGTATTTCATGCTCTTTACATCCAAAGAGTGTTTCTAATTGGCCAAAAGTAAATACAGGGGATTACCGTGCAACACACAGGTGCCTTGTTTCTAGATTTTTGAAATGATATCCGGGGAGGGCATCGTCCAAAGAAGTATCGAAAAAAAGGAAATATTATCTGTAGAAACTTATCCAAGGCGCGTCGTTTCTTATGTAACCATGAATCCCGTTCACTACTTCTAAGATACGTTTCAATCCAACATTAATCGAAGAATGATACGGTCAGATGCTGTTTGTATAACAGATCCACGTTCAAAAATCCCAACAGTAGACAACCAAGTATGTCTAAAACTTAGTAAAATGCTCAGGACTAGACGTCAAATAACCGATCATTATAACGATTATTTTTAGGTCAAGTTATACGCGATATTTCCAAGTTTAAAGCTTGACTAAGGCGACTGAACACTGCAATACGATGTATCATCTACTCTTAGTTTAAGTTAGAAATAGGCAATGCTGATGATGCCAACATTTTCACTCACCTCAAAGCTAGTTTGCGTGATGTATTGACTGTAAAAAATGTACACTGAAATAAGAGTGGAACAGTATGTGTAAAGCATAATGCTTTTATTCCTAACAAAATCTTAAAAAATCAATCTGAGCGGTATCTATGACTTGAATAGCAAATACTGTGTTTCATCTACATATAACCATTGAGTAGTTCTGTCGTTCCGTAAACGAATTTAATGAGACCATTGGGCAAATTCAGTTATCATCATGGTGCATAGTATTCATTTTCAGACAACTGCGAAGAATACAACTTTCCTGTAGTTTTTATACACATCTCTTGCTAATTACTGCTAACAATTATTATAACAAAGTTTCCTGCGACCAATTTCGAACCACCTGATTGCAATCAAAAGTAAATAATTTGTCTACTAAAACACAATAAGGTAGCATAGCTTCTCATAGAAAAATAGAGGTAAAATATTCTTTTAATTTACTCACCAAACGTATGATACATTTGTAATAAGGTGTAAAGTACAAAACGATCGACTTCAACATTGTCATACATTAAAAATGGATATCCAGGTATTGCATTTGGTAAACCAGTGTTTCCTGACCCATTAGCAAGCGAATTAACACCCGTGTTTGAAGATAGCATACCGTCATTCGATAGGTTGGTAATGCTGGCAGAAGAGATTGAAGCTGCTACAGTTGGGTTGATGGGCATGAATTGTCTGTTTAGTGAAACAGAACCACCACCAATTGTATTGATTGACATACCTGTCCCGGGTTGTGATATTACATTTAATGTTTGTTGTTGCGTTATGCAAACAGAACTATTGCTGGAATGTAAGCTGTTAGTTCCCGGTTGTGGTTGTGAAAGTGTTGGAGACGTAAGTGCTGAGCAAAAACCATAAATCACACAATCCGGTGCTTGTATACTACGTGCAAACTTTAAAATAGACCAATCGAGGCTAAATAAATACAAAATAATACGATTGCATTGAAATACATTCAAGCATACCATAGACACTAATTAAATGATAAAATATGCTTACATCAGGAAAATTGTACAAATAACTGACCAGTGAAACGATATCTCTTCGTTATCTCTCCCGATGCCTCAACTATGTACAACGATGATCCAGTCAAAGACGAGTTCTACTGTCACCTGAATAATCCCTACCAAATTCCCTCGACAGGGGGGGGGCTTGAATGAAAATGTTTCGCCTTCAAGCATAGGGGAGGTTTGTCTACATACCAAGGTGTGGATTGATGGCAGGTCGGAAGACGGGGACCGTCTTCTGAAGCCTTGCACAGATTACCTGTTTCCAATCAGCACCGACGTCTGGCAGTCATTGTGGTTGCGATGCCTGGGGCCTTCTCTAGGCAACTCAAGCATAGACTCAAGTAGATTACACCGAAATTTTCTACTGATGACGTGAGTGTATTCAAGACTGCTGCATTTTCTGTCAGGAATATGATCACGCTTCATTGTGCGCTAGGTTCATCTTGCATTTTGTTCATCAATACTGTCGTCCGAAACACATCAATGTAAGCAGACTCGTTGCAACTAGTGTTGCAACGAAATATCATAGATCATCTGTCGATCCTCAGCAAGGTATAAATGATTGTTGCGTGCACTTATAAGACGCCGTGAAAAAGGTAACGCCACTTGTGGCTTTGAAAAACGTTCTGCTAATAAACACTGGATTGCTGCAAGCTGTTACCAACTTCCTACCGGTTGTCGGTGTAATCCAGAAGGTAACAAATACAATAGAGTGCGTAAGTCCCTTTAGCGAAAGACCGAACAGTATTTGTATTAGGACCATGATACCAACACCCAAGTGAGATGGGAACAGCAGTTGCATCTACGAATAGTCAGATATCTCAGCTCATCCACGCCACCAGCAGCGAGAAGTCTGAAGTCACTGAGACAAACTCTCATAGACTCCTAGAACGTTGGGTTGAGTACTTCAGTCCAGTTGGCTCACTGCCCCCAGCAAAACTAACTTCAATGTCTTGTGCTCCATAGTCCGCTAGTACCAACCCCCCTAACGAAGTGGAGTTTCGTAAGGATATCCCAGTTTCATCACACTGAAAAAGTCATTTCTGTAGCCAACTTTAAAAATGACCCTAGATGATAATCATCGGCATATGTCTGCTGCCAGTAGCGTCCAAATATTCGCTATCATACTTCGCAGACTCCGCGAAACGTGTAAAAAATGATCCATGAGGAGCAGCCAGGGTTTTATTCGAACCATCACGTGTTCACCCCGGTCTATCAGAAGCTCAAACACCGCAAAATTATTGCAGGCCGACGGTCGTCGTATGGCTGCTCAATTTCACCATTCCGCTTTAACTTTCTAATCGATGGTATTTTAGAAACACCGTCAGTGGAGTTGTGATGGTGTAGTAGACTTGTTGTCAAGTAAAGGACTATTCGACCTTGAGTATGCTGACGATATCGGTTTACTGTGCGACAACATATAGGCTCTTCACATCGCACTTAATCAGTTTGCAATCAGTGTCAGTGACTATGGTATGTGCTTCGAGCCATCGAAGTGCTTCAGCTTCGGGAAATTATCGAAAATCTTATGTATATGGGAATTTGAGTAAGTACTTGCGTAGATAAGACTGATGAGATTCCAACCGCACAAAGAAAAACAGAGTTCAATAGGTCAATCACTGCCACCTTTTACGCTGAGACATTAAATTGGCTGTCAGGTAAACTACGAGTCTGTGCAGGCAGTCCTGTGAAACCTGACTTTTCCACACTGAAGATGTCCTAAGACTGAATTTTCGACCACCGTGGCTACCACACGATTGCTCGCAACTAGCGAGAACACCATGTAAGTAATTCTGAGGTGAACTGGCATGTTCCTCAGTGTGATGGAGATCATCATTCACTGACTGTGGTCATAGGTCATTTTGACATGTTACAAATGTAATTCCAAAGGCTCTCATACTGCTTACTGTTTGGTTGTAATGGGACTTGGTTGGGTGAAAAGAAAAGAGGGGAAGTTTAAGAAGTGGAACTATAGGATTAAGGATAGTTGCGTTCGCTTGACATTTGTAGGTGCCTCACGATTCACGCATCTCAGTGGTTTGAGACGATAGAAGAAATGGTTCGCAATCAAATTATTAGCGATTGTGTTGCAGTTTTGCAGTTCTTTCGATCACTTCACTCTCCATCATTAAACTGGATGGGAACCCAAACCCACGACTCACAGGTTGAAAGTCTAGTGCTTAAGCACTAAACTACATTATTAACCCCATTCATCTCAAACAACAGGCTTAGTAGAAATGTCTTTGGAATGAAACATGCTCAGTTGGAAATAACCATACTTACTTCATTGAGTTACAGTATAATTATTGTAACGGAATACCAGTAACGTCATCGCAGTTATCCAAACAACTTCCAGTTATCTTACGGCTTAGTTTAATTATATCAAGAACAAGTACACTAGTAAGGTTTTCTCATTTAGATAGTCATAGTACTAGGCGTTACACAATTACAATCCTTACTCCAGAAGAGGAACAACATTTAATTGTATCAGAAGAAAACCAATAATGTTTATAACCTACTGCTAATTAACTTTGTAGTAACGAAGCAGCGTTACTGAAGATTACCAAGCCTACTACAAGGATACTAAAGTTCTTACTGTTGCACACATTGAAGAAACCTTATAGAATAATCGGAGTATAAATTGGTGGGAAGTGATTATCATGGTAAAAACATTCACAATTATCGCTGGTAAGAGCGCAACTCAACAAAAACATTGTGACGACGCATATTAGTTCAGTTTATGCCCATCAAGGGACTACATTTAAGATCAAAAAAGTAGCATTGTATTTTTTTACACATGATAAACTCAGAGGAACAAGACACATATTAGTCCGCAGCAATATAAAGGAAATAGATTACCAAGAAAAATTGGTCGGAATTAGGATGAGGTGAAAGACAAGTTAGGTGAAGAAAACGCCCATATATATATATATATATATATATATATACTGAAAGTTTTTTGAGCTAAATACAAGGACATAATGCAGCAAAAAAACGTATAACCTACAGATATTGCAATTCAAGGGGAACTTCACCACTAGCTCCATCACGAACATTTTTCGGCTCTTTATTATCAAGAACAGAGGTACTGCAGTTGGTCCACAATTTCGACAAGTTGACTAGTGATATCAGAGCATGAATTCGAACCTCCGGTGTTAGGATATCTGATAAACGGAAGCCCAGTGTATCAATTAGCGTATAAACAAGTGAACAAACAGAGTAGTTGGACACCTTTTCATTTGTGGTGCCAGATGTAAATGAGTTTTTGGAATCAACACTCGCACCACTCCAAGACCATACTGGTTTGAGTTTGGCTAGTAAACCTTGAAAAAATTGCAAATGCAATCAAAAAAATCTGCGAATGTATTTTAGGATGAGAGCTTGTTTACTCATGAATAAAAACCCAGGCATCACTGGAAGCAATTTCAATGCAAAATTATCGTTAAATAGTGGTTAGTGTACTTATTTACAAATCAGTAGCAACGTCAGAAATAAAAACAAATTCGCGTAGACGAAATTGAGGTAATGGAAACACCGATGGCGGCGAAAAAAACTAAACCTTACGATATGGTTCTGATTTGCAAACAATCTTACCCGTTACACATCTACATGACAGTGTATTCGTTTTGTCTGAAACCTCAGTAGTCAATCGTTATCACCTTCAATGTCGTTAGATACACTTACTTATATGCATTGTTTCGTGCATTACAAAATCGTAGAAGCACTACAGAATGACTTTTTCAACAAATTATTAGTTCTTTGTATGTTTTGCACTTAATGATCGGATAGCTCATTCGACTGTCCCTTAGTACTTTTCAAATTTATTATCTTTCCTACCTGACAATCACCCGTTGTTATCTAAGAAGGCCATTGGGCTATCATCCATCGTATTATTAAGAGGAGAGGATGTTCAGTTACCCACAGAGATTCCGTACAAAAACTTTATCCAAGGGTGATCAAAATATCCATTTCAGTCTAAATATAGATGCAAATACCTAGTAAAACTGGAGTATAAAGATAAACTTAGAAAAGATTCGGAGATAAACCTAATTTTATGATGTGACATAGTTGCAAGCAGACTGCACCTACATAAAATCCTGTTCACACTGTTTGATTCCACTTCACGGCAAGTCAGAATGCGACAAAAGGTTTCAATGACTGCTGGTGTAGACGACATACTGGAATTTGGAAGGACTGCAAATTTTTGAAGGAAAAAGTGTAACACACTGAAATAATAAAAGATGAACATAGGATATGGTTAGATTTTGATCAGCTTTACAATTTTCGGCAGCTTACAAAATTAGTTAGCTAAGCTAAAACAATAAGGACTTAAAAGCATTTTCTTAAGACATGAAAACGTGTCTAACTCAATTATTCATGCATTCTTGATTGGAAATCGAACAAGGTTATCATATGCTCTGTCTATATGAGTAGGTTGTAGCTGAACAAATGTTAAGTGACCACGTTAAGTGTACAGACATCCAAAATTCTGTGTAAGTTAATTAACTTTATGGTTAGTGACTGAAGAGTAAAGGTTTCGGATTTGATGTAGCGTTCCAGAGAATGGTAAACTAGCGCTACTGGTTACTCATGGGAAGTATTAGCCTGATTTGTATGTCTTCTTCTTACAACCTACCCACGTGCTACCCACTGTTGTAGCAATCAAAACTCATGAAGAGTAAAATTGATATTTATTCGCTTTTTAAAACGGGTGATGGCAACGAAACTACACTATTCAATACGGTTTCAAAGAAAAATCTTCAAATTCTCATTAAAAAGTCATCTCCAGAACGACAGAAAATAATTAGGAAGAGCGTTATTATTTCAAATAGCCCCTCCAATAACTACATGATTTAACATTCTTTAAAATTTTAGCAGCAAATGAAGTTTTAGTATGTCATCTGTGTTTTCAAATGACTTTAAAAGCCACCGTAACAACTAACGTCTTTTCTCCATTGAGTGAAAATTTAACATTCTAGACGAAATAACGAAACCCGATTGATTATTTCAGCAGCTGCTAGGATGACTTTTAAAGTCGAGTGACACTAAAAGCCACCGAAACTACTGAAACAACCAATGAAAGGTATGTAATTTATGAAAAAACTACATTCCAATTCGAAATAAAGAGACTTGATTGGCTACCTAAGTTACTGTTAGGGTGGCCTTTGGAATCACTCTTAAAGTCGAATAACTTTAAAGGACATCCTAGCAGCGATTGAAATAACCAATTAGGTTTCTCCATTTCGGAGTGACTTCAAAAGACCACCCTAACAACTGCCGAAATAACGAACCAAGTCGCGGTATTTCGGCTGAGAAAATTTTTCACAGGAATGAGAAACGTTATAAGTTGTTTCATCAGTTCCTCAGGTGGCCTTTAAAGTCAGTCCCGTTTCGTCTGGAAAAGCAGATTTCCATAAAAATAGAGAAGTCTAATTAGTCATTTCAGTTGTTACTAGGGTGGCATCTGAAGTCACTGAGGCTTTAAAGGGCAACCTAGCAACTGCTGAAATAAACGAACAGGTTTCGGGATTTCGGCTGAGTAGGTAGTTTTTACACAATAGAAAATTGCAAACAGCTTTCTCAGAAGCTGTTAGTCACTAAGATTTTCACTATACAATGCCCAGACTCTCTGCCATCATTAATAACCGGCAACATTAGGAATTCGGTTAACAAATTAAGAAAGATTTTAAAGGTCATCCCAGCGACTGATGAAATAACCAATCAGGCTTCGTCATTTTGGCTTGAAAAGGAGCCTTTCATAAAATAAACATAATTGGATATTTTGGCAGTTGCTTGCTACGATTGCCATGTAGGTCACTTCAAATAAGGTCCAATTGACATTTTAACATCTATAAACGATATATGGATGATATATCCGTTATTTGCAACTCAACTATCGACCTGGATAACCTCCTACGCGAGTTTAAAAATTGTCACTCAGCGTTGGAATTCACCATTGAGAAGGGATTGGAATCAGCTATTCCTTTTCATGAAGCACTGATTACGAGACGTAGCAATGGAACGCTGAAAAGACCCATCTACAGGAAACCCATATGGAATGTATTGATTGGTCACGGGAGTGCAACCAATTTCCGAGTGCAGATCGAATTCTATCGATCATATTTGCAATGTGACAACCAAGCAAGGAAGCTCAGCATCGTGGTGCACATTAGTAGATGTTAGCTGGTTGGAGGCAATCGGCAGGAAGCCCTGGGCCTAGGTTTCATGCTTTTTGATACTCGTCAGCAAGGCGTATCTGCAACCTCGACGGTACCGAGTACCGAGAAGCACGAAACCTAGGCCCAGGGCTTCCTGCCGATTGCCTCCAACCAACTAACACCCACATGGAATCGACAGCTTACTAATTTCTATAGGTGGGTACCAATCATGAGGAAGAGAAACCTTATTCACTCACTCTGTCATCGATACGTAATATTTGTAGCACGGAATGTTTTCAATTTGAACTTGACTTTCTAAGAGGGACGATCGCGGAGAACGGCTATCCTAGTCGATTTATCGATAAGATTATGCGAGATAGGCATGCGAAACCAGTCACCAGCTCAGTTTCTAAAAAGACTTTGTTCTCGAATCTGGACTTCAAAGGTGATGCGGCATCAGATATCCTGAAAAATCGTCTTTCCAGATCAAATAGTAGGACTTTTTTCTCAGTCAAACTTCACTTGATCTTTACCAGTCGTAAATTGTTCTCCGTTTGTATAAAAGACAATATCCATCGATAGGCTACATCCATGTGTATCTATCAGTTCACCTGCCCCTGTGGAACAAGGTACATTAGCCGTAGTCAGAGACTGCTGTCAACATATTCCGGCCTGGCTTTATAAGGGTGGAACGAAATGTATCAGAAGTTCTATCCTTGAGCATTCAATCGATTCCAACCACTCAACAGACCCAGACAAGGATTTTAAGGTTGTCTATCGGATTCGCTCAAGCACCTCACGTTCCCTCCATGTTCAACTTCTAAAAACAGCAGAGGCCTTGGCTATCCATGAACTGAAGCCTGACCTTTGTGTACAAAAGAAGTATGTACAGTCTTTGTCTCTGCCTTGGCCTTAATTTATTTTAGACTTGGTGTGCTTCCTCACTTTTTTTCGTTTTTCACCCCTCTCCCTCCTTTCTTGCCAGATTAATCTTTGTACTCTTATATCGTCACTATCACTTTATTTTTATATTTAATTGTTCCCGGTGTTATTTCGTTGGATCTTCCTAATAGTCACAACTTTCAACAAAACATTTTCAATTTACTCCAATTAACTTGTCTCACTCATATTACCCAATCATTTGATTGTTTATTAACGTTCTCACCCTTTTTAATCTATATGCACCTTACAAACGATTTAAAAATCTCACGTAACCCCTTACGTCATCGACTAGCAACATTATAATCATAACCACCATTATTATTGTTGTTTCAACCCTCCATTATTTAAGTTAAATCTTCCTCATGGACTACAGTGTTTAGATATTATATATATACGAATGTACAGCTTGAGAATAAATTCGTTGAAAAGATTCCTCTTCGCTGAATATCTTTTTTAAACGATAATCTTACAACTGAAAAACAAACATCTAAATCATAAGATTACTGAGATTCCTCACTATAGTTCGAAACATGTACCTGCTGTAAGGAAAAAATGTGTACTTACAGCATTCGCAAATGGACAGACATTGTACGCATCAGATGATGAGATAGAGGTTTTAAACGCCCATAAGCTGATAAATTATATGGCAAATCAACATTTCCATTCTTTATCAATCTTGACCATAGACAGCCATGTTCTGGTTTCTGTGTATCATTTGCAGATTCGTTTGTCCAAAATAAATCCACTAGTCTTTGTATCAGGTGACTGACTTCATTATCTGTACTGACTAAAAGTAAGATGGAGTAACTAATCAAAACTATACTGCTTAGGCATCATCATCAAGGAAAAAAACTAACAAGCGATAAAAAAGAGACTCTCACTCATACATAAATTTTCAAAATGAAACCTCTCACGATTTAACCACTTACAAGCATTGAGTACAACGAAAAGCTGGTTCCAAGTCAACTTTGAAACTAAATGGATAGAAGCACTAGAAACTTGATTTGAGCTGACAGACTGCAATAATGCTTGCATACGACGGGATATACGAGCCTCAATCGGTCGAAGAGCTGGTGGCATAACACGTGGCAAGTGATCCTGACCCAACCGACTTTTCCGCAAAACATGTTGCCAGAGGCATACAGGTGCAGTAGCCAAGTGCAAGAGTCGTCCTTGACGTTTGTAACAAGCTGTAGAGCAGCGAAGATGAGGTGGCAGCAAACCTATTTATTGTAAAATATCAAAAAGCAATGCAATTAAATTACTGCATAGTCTTACGTGCTGCTAGCTAACTAAATTAATTGATCTTAATAATACTTTCCGAAACAGGTCCTTCTGGTACATATATATATATATATATATATATATATATATTTCTTCTGAGATATATTTCGGTACAAAATGCTCCCGAAACTTAGTTGACTTTCCTACCCACTTTCACCTCAATTTTAGAGTTGAGACTCAATGAATGAATGATGTTGATTTATACATAGTTTTCTGCAAACATATTCATCAAGATCGGCATAGGACCAAGCATTAGTGCGTAACGGTCCAAGTCGCCACACCTCATATCAGCACATCAAGCAACAAGACAATGAAACGGAAGATGAAGAACAAAATAAAAATCGGTCGAGAGAAGTAGAAAGTAATAAAAGAGAGCAAGGAGCATTGATAAAATGATAAGATTAAGTATAATGGTTAAGATGAGGATGTATGTTTGTATGCATACATATGTGCCACACATCCGTTCTGAGTTATATTACCTACAGTCTCCAATCACTGATTTGTATTGTCCACGGCTACTCTGCATCGCCTTACATAGCTGAAACAAACTGTCAAGGACGTCGTATACTGATGCCATATTTTAGTGTGTCCGCCCCGATCCCTTTTTCCATCCTGAACTGACTTCGGTCAACATTGTCCAACAAGGCGGTCGGTGACTAAGCATACGTAACACATGTCCCAGCTATCTTAGTCAATGAACGTTAACGACCATATCAACTGACTTTGCACTTCTCTCTAAAACTCTAGACCTGACTTCTGCGTTACTCAGGTGGTGACACCACAAAACACGGCTGATGCTACGAAGGCAACGGTGGCCAAACACCTTAAGGCTTTGCATGTCTTCTACCTTTATTGGTCATCTTTTACAGGAATACATAGAACAGAGAGAACTGCACCACAGTACACTCGACCCTCAATAGACAATCGCGTACTAACTCGGGGTCACAGATGGCGTTAGTTGGCAAAAACCAATCCAGCCTTTTGTATTCCTGCAAAGATTTCGTCACCCGCTGGTCAATGCACTGGGGTTGATCCAACTTCCCAAATAAGCGAAGTGTTAACCCCACTCAAACATTTCACTCAATTGTGGGGCGGGGGACCGTTGAATGCCAGTGCCTGAGCTACAATTTGCATTTAGGTGGCGAGAAACATATCCCAAACGCTATCAAATTCCTACGCAATGTCACCAGAAGACTCTTCATCTTGAAAACGTCTTCACCTACTAGGACTATGTCATCTGTGTATTCTAGGTCTAACAAAAATTCTCCTATGATTAGGTCGATTCTCGTGTACTCAGATGACAAGAAGACCTCCAAAAGAAAGTCTATGGTAAAATTGAATAAGAAGGGAGATAGCGGGTATCCCTGTCGGACAACACTCAATCTACGCAGCTCATCTGACAACTCACCATAGGTTCTAACACACCCAAAGGTATTCGAGTAAAGAGCCTTCAATAAGGTGATGTACTTATTCGATACCCGCTTCACTGAGAGACATCCCCATGACACTTCTCGATCGACGGAGACAAATGCTGCATTCAAGTTGAGAATAAAGCTAGTGTCTGGCGTTGATTAGCGTATCTGTGTTCCACAACCTGACGGGTGAATATTTGGTCGAGACATCCACGGCCAGGTCTTAAGCCTGCCTGGTTTTTTCGAGTTCGCTGTTCCCGAGCTCCACTTAGGCGTCTGATGATTATAGAACCTAGAATCTTAGACACTATCTTCGTCAGACTGATTTCTCTGTGGTTATCAAAAGAGGACTTCTCACTTTCTTTTAAGACTGCGACAATCAGTGATTGAGACCAGTCAGACGGACCATACTTAACTCCCATACACTAGTTAACATGTAAGTTAACTTGACCAAAAACACTCTACCGCCATCCTTATATACCTCAGGAGTTAGTCCGTCTTATCTTGCTGCTCTTCCTCGCCGTTTCAAGTTAGCTACAGCCTTCTCAACTTCTCCAGGGGGTGAGGATCCTATATCAATGCTCCATTCATTATACGACAGGAAACCAACTAACGCAATGGTAGCTGAAACCCAGTTGAACTATTCCTCGAAGTGTTCCACCCATCGTTTCAGTCGTCTCCTCTCCCAGTGAATAGCGAACCTATAATTCCCCGCTATAGTCTCACCAAACATTGACATTCTTGCTCCACTTTCCTTGATAAGCTTAAATAAATGTCCACTGTTACACATCACCGCCGCCTTTTCTATCTCGTCAGCCTTCACTATTTACAACTGTTCGCTATCATTGCGTAGACTTTTTGTCGGTCTACATTTGAGTTGCATTAGCACCTAAGCGTACTCGGAGTCTGCAGGAATGCGTTTGCGTGCATTCATTATATTAGAAGCTCCTGACATCCACTAGCTCCTCTTAACCACTCTTTGATAATCAGCTGTGGTCTTCAACGCTGCTTTCACAGCAAACCAGAGATGGTGCAAACCTTCTTCTAGATGACTGATAGTGTTTTGTTCCGACAACTGCCTAGCCAGTTCCTCGCTGAAAGCAACCCTGGTGCCCACTTCTCAGTACCCCCATGTACTCATAACAGTCCTTTTGCTAACGTTTTCCTCCGTCCATTGAGACGCAGATATATACGCGCTCGAACCAACGTGTGGTCGCTCTCCAAACACGTGCTTCAGGAGTGGCAGTATTCCACTGGCCCTCTCTAGCCCTGGCTGACAGCAATGTGGTCTATCTGTATCCATCACTACGCTGAGCTCGGTGAACGCCACGCCAGACAATTTCTTCCCTTATGTCTAATGGCTTTTCCTAGCTAAAAATAAACTGTTATCTGAGCACAGTTGCAGTAGGCAGTCATCGTTATTTGTTCTTTCGGTCGAGATCCCAAAAGTGCCTTTCTGCCTGACTCACTTTGGAGTCAAATCCACCTGCAACAACAACCATATCTGAGCGCTTGGCTTTCAAAAGGAGGTTAGACAGCTTTCGGTAGAACTCATCCTTCCTTCACTTCATCCGAACTGCAGTCAGTGGGTGTGTAAGCAGATATTACAAGAGACAACCGCGAGTTTCACTATTCTTTTTAGTTCTCACTGTACCGTTCATTTGAACAGAGCACGGGCGACTTTTAACTGGGATCCAGTCTAGTAGTGAGTTCTCTACTCTAGTCCTCAATGCTACGCCTACACCTGCAAGACAGCGACAACCAGTCATCGAATCTCCAGTAACTCGAATTTTGCGGATTCCCCATATCGGCCGGGGGAGGTTAAGTGAATAACCCCACTTGGGTTAAGTTTCACAAATTCATGGCTCAAGTTGCTAGAATTTCGGTCAATGAAGCTTGTTGGCCAATTTGACAGAGGGTGTAGACATTGAAGGCTTGAATGTATGATTTAGAACGTGGTTTAGGAAATCAAGGATACTGTTCTATGGGTTCAGATCGTTGTCGAGAGATGGAGAGCTAGAAGAAACTAAAGATGATGTAGGATTGTTAAATGAGGAACATGAAGGAAGATTAGAAGGTAAGGATGAGGGATGTGGATAGCGACCTCAGAGAACTCCCGCCCACACCGTGGAAGTTGGATCTACTTTAGGTACCTAAGAAAGAAGTGATAGTGATGACTGAAGAATTCAGGGGACACCTGCTTGAGCCCAGTTATGTACGAACTTTTGAAGCCACGACAATCGGCCTGTATTATGGAAGATGTAGACGAATATATGTCCTGTGGTTTTAAATCGCCACTAAACACTGATGACTGATCTAAGCGATTATAATCCATCATTTTATTGTTTGAGAACATGTTAAAGATAAGGGTAACTGCTTTTTGTCTAATCACTATCCAACAAACCTCTCTGGTATGGTAGGCCCTCGAGGGAACAAGCGTTCCACCAGCATAGTTCATTGTGTCATCGTGGTATACAAGCCCAACCACCACGTCAAGGTAACAGCTATCGGTCAGCTACAAGCATATTATCAAACTAAAGTTAGCTAAACACCGGCTGGAATGACTAACCCATTTTTAGGGTGGAGGGTGAAAAAAATTAAAATCTACTGGAGTACGAAACGATAACTTCGAAATGTGACTGCTTATAAAAGACGTAAGAAGAATGTTTTCTGACCCTAAATCAAAACTTTGTGCTATTTTAAGAGATGATGATAGATTACAAATTCTTGGTCGGTTGCTAAGATGAAATTAACAGATCGCACAAAAGTGCATACATTCAAATTACAATACATTTAACAGCACAGTAAGAGGAATTTCACAAAAGAAGAAACTAGTCTACATTTTGCGAACCGTCCGAAGTTAGCAGTCAGAAAGGCTAGTATCACCTTACACTTAATCCCGATAATATTTCCCATCAAGGAAGAGAGCGATTGGGCAACAGCAATACATTTGACCTAATCGGTTCAGCAAATACCGTTCATAAGTACATAAATATACTGACTACTCTGATAACAAGTAAACTTACGCATTATGCCTAGATTGACTTTTCAGTGATTCTAAAGTATGCCACTCGTAATTCAAGTTTGTCGATGATCAAACTTTTGTAACACTCACTTGTTGTTAAGCTTCAGCAAATCAGCAACCAGGTACAGGGCTTATTAACATGGATAAGATATCCACACCGCAATGTAATGACCTACGACACCAACTAGATGTCTGTACTGAATTAGATGAAGCAAGTTTTGAATATGATGTTATGTCTAAGTCAAAAAGCCACATTTCCACCTCCATTAGGCTTTAATGGTCTGTTGATATATCACCAGTGACATAGATGTGATTAGTTGGTTATTGTCCATAAAGTTTTCACGAAATATATCGCATCGTAAGGACCAAACAACAGAGCAACTGCGATAGGTACACACAACCAATACTACACAAACATCTCTACTGCTAATCATAACCACCTGAAACTCCGAAAATGAATAAAAAGTACCTCTGAAATTCATTGCTTTTCATGCGATAGCGAATAGATGACTATTATTTTCTCATCTACTTTCAGATAAGGCTAATAAGGAGAGTTGGACAAAACACAGCTATTAAAGAGGCATGTAAGGAAATACAGATAATCGAATGGAAAAGCCTTCAAAACTAAGAATAAGCATACTCTCAGCTTCATTCTGGCTACACTCGTTATCTGAATCTTCAGCAGAAGTGGAACTCTCCTCTTGAATTTCACTCTCATCATCCTTAGGGGTAATATATTCACGGATTGGCCCTTCTGAACTTTCCAAATCCATTGTTTCCGGTACAGACAATTCAGAGGTGTGTGTTTCACTGCATTCATCTCTAACCGTTGAGTTTTTAGGCATATGGCAATCCTTTCGTGAAGAAATGCCTTCAGCATCGGTAGAATGACTAGCAGAATCTTTTCTACTACAAAACGGTATGGGGAGATCAATAGCACGATCAGGATCTTCAGCCTCGGGGAACAAAATATCAAAGAGTCGGAGACAGGGGACAAAATCTGTCAACTGGAAAACAAAAAAATAGAGTTAAAATATATACCTTAATTACAACTTCACAATATACATATCATGTGTGAACAATGCAGTTTAACGAGAACTAGTCTACTCTGAAAAGCACACGGCATGATTCAAAAGCACTTTAAATTTTAATCTTTGAAATGCCAACTAATATGGTGAACACTTGAGACAGTAAAAACTAGTCACTCTAGTAGGACATAACTCATTATTTTTCTATTTGATGTTGCACACAGAAATAAAACATAACTAACCGCATTACGTTTTGATTGCAACTTATTGCACATGATCACGCAGTGGTATATAAGACGAATTATAAACAGTAAACAAGCGAACCACTAAATTCTCAACAATCTGATTCAATGTTATACACTATAAAACATCATCTGTGTAGAAATGAGTCATAAAACACAACTGAATTCTTAACCGTAGGTGAAAGTCTCCGGTAGCAGATAGATAATATCAATGTAGAACCTCGAAAGGCATCGACTCAAGTTGTCACACTTCAAAGAAGTATACGAAGAACAAGTGAATAGAAAAATCCAGATACCAAAGTCGACAAATCAATTTGGAAATCAAGGTTTTTGAAAACGTTCAGGCCAAAGAATAAATTTGTTCACTTGTGACCGACTTTCAGTTATGTCACCAAAGATCTATTGTCTAAAGGACTCCAACCAGATAGTCTACGTCTTCTTACAAAACTCAGACGAACAGTCAGACTTCATGGACTGACGTGACATTGATTTCAGCGTTTCACCTAGCACTGGAACCTGAGCTGCACTACCCGAGTGGACATGTGGCTGCGTATTCCTAACAGTAAAAAGGAAAATAAATGATGATCGAATCAAATGTAGCCCGGATTCAACCAGGTATTGCTTCGATTATCAAATAAATGATCTCAACTTTGTGCGCTCAACACATTGTGGTACTAAACAAAGATTGCAATGCGCAAACAGGGTTTCCAGGCTCATATAGGTCATTTAGTTTTGTAAGGCCTCAGTTTTGTATCGTTGTTATTGATCTGAACATTTTAACGTGTCATTTCCACACCACTTTTGCGGTATGACTAGTAGTCTATTTTCCGCCCCCATTGTAATGTAAATCGTTGATTGGTTAATCTTTACTCAAACTGTGAGAATGTCTCAAATCCGGGACAAGGTCATTTCTCATGTGTGCACATATTCACGTGTTTTGGGATTGATTATTATCATATTCTCGGAGTAATAAACTCTCCCATCATCCAGCTTCATGCTTCTCTCTATTCGTCCCAGGGTTGCAGTCGGTGGCTCTTGCGTACTAAGCTGTCAGCTAAGCGTGCGTATTATATTCGTTGGGAATATATAACGCTGGCGACGAAGATATATAACATTTAGATGGCCAACTGATATAACCGGCATCATCTCTTACAGGTTTATCCAGAACAAAACCTATTTTTAGCCAGCACCACGTTTTTACACAGTCATTTACCACACGTTACCTGGCATGCTCCATTCATTATATCAACTAATTAGCTGTTAATGATGTGAATGTATACAGCACTTCCACCTTCTCTGCCATACCACTCGTAATTCTGACCACACTTTGGTGTGTTAAGCTTACCTCGCAATATGGTGATCATCGAAATCATCGTTCTGGATATACTTAAGTAGCACTTAGTATTGTGGTTGAACATCCAAGCTAACTAAAGGTTAGCTGTTGATCAGTGGATATCTCTTATTTGTGAGTCCTGGTTATCTAGATTACATGAGCAACTTTTCACATACGGCTTCCAATCACAGTCACTGGAAATCCTGTTGTACGCTACTTTTATCTCTCACATAAAAATGAGGAGAACCTAGACAGATGTAACAACACAAATGAATCCAAAGAGAATTCAATTTTTACTGGAACGCCTCCCTTTACTATTATTACTCATATGGTTTTTCAGATAAAATGATTAACATATGCCTAAATTAAAATCTTTTATGCATATCCATAACAAACACTACATAAAACGATAGTTAACGGGGATTATATAAGCTCAAGTTGTAAGTCAATCTACCTCGTATGGTGCATTTCGCTACTGTCAAATTTTCACTAATAACAAGCCCAGAAAATAAAATATATCACCGACATATATAATATATTGTTCGATAACATTTGTTAAAAAATGAAAAAACCAAAGGATAAATCCAGGAATACTTCAACGAAGCACCTAAGGCTTAAATACAATCGGCTTTTGTCGACTGATTTTAGTAAAGCAAGAACAGAAAGCTCTATAGAGTAAGACGAATTCATAGCATTTCATAAGCCATACAAATGCATACAGGTTAGATATCACAGGATATACAAAGAAAAAACGTAATCGAAACAACTAATACACTCATACATTGGAGTACAAAAACTCCGCATTATTATTACTTATTATTTGTCCCTTGGGTTCCTAATGGAACATAGGGTTTCAGTAACATATCTCCAATGCGCTCTGTCCTCTGAAATCTTTCGAACCTGGATCCACGACTGCCCACAAGCTCTCATTTCCTCCTCCATGTCACCGCCACCTCAGACGCCCAACTCGTCGCTTCCAATCGGGGTTCCACTCGAATACCTGGCCTGATGCGTTATGTCCCCAGTCGGCCCTCTCAGTGTATGCCCAATCCATCTACACTTCCTTCCAGTGCATATTTTTCCAGCGATAGGTTGTTGGTTGGTTCGTCACCAGCCAGCCAGAGTTCCTTGTTGATTATTCTTATTATTCTGGCCATCTGATATTCAGTAACGAGCCAGTGTAGGCAGTTGTTGATGGATGTCTGTAGTTTGTTGGAAATCCCTTTCGTAACGCGCCAAGTCTCTGAACCATCACATAGAAGCACTGACTTGACATTGGTGCTGAAAATCCGGATCTTGTTCACGCTTTATGCTGAGTGCAGAAGATCTCCACACTGGTTTCAGGCTAATGAACGCCTGTCTTGCTTTTCCGATCCTGCCTGGCTTTGATGTCCTCGTCTGTGCCGCCACCGCTTGTAGTTGAAACAGTGCTTCCTAGATAGGTGAAGGAGGTTACTTCCTTTAAGTTTCTCCCGTTCATGGTGATTGGAGATTGTTGTTGTTGTTGGAGTTGTTGGTGCGGTATCTTCATCACCTCTGTCTTCTCTATATTCACTTGAAGTCCCGTCTTCGCTGCCCTGCCTCTTCTGACAACTGGTTAGTTTTCGCCTGCAGGTCTTCAAGTTTGTGTGACATCAGGCACAAGTCATCGGCGAAATCAAGATCTTCTAGGTTCTTTTCCGCAGTCCAGCTAGCGTATCCCCCTCTTCTCACAGCACCCCACTGTTTGTTGCATGATCCAGTCCAGTCGACCACAATCAGGAATATCATGGGGTATAGTAGGCAACCTTGTTTCACTCCTGTCTTCACTTCACTTCAAAAGCATCACTGATCTTCCCATTGTGAATTACTTGGCTGGCATGTGGCGTCTTCATATACTTGTTGAATGAGGTTGATAAAGGTTTGTGGCATTAAAAGCGTAGTATTGAGGCAGCTGCCAAATTACTTCTCGGTCGACGATGAAGTCGATGAAGTTGAGGTAGAGAGTTGACTGCCATTCTATACTCTGTCCTATGATAGTGTGTAGCGTTTCAATTTGATCCGCACATGATTTGTTCTTCCTGAAGCCAGCCAGCCAGCCTGTTCGGGTCGTAGTTTCGAAGGCAGTGCATCCTTCAGTCTCTCCACGATGATGCGACCTAATATTTTGCTTGCTTTGGGTGGAGAGGAGCGTGATTCCACCCCAGTTCTTGCAAACACTGAGGTCTCCCTTCTTCGGCAGTTTGACAAGGTAACCCTTCTTCCAATCAACCGGCAGGTACCTTCCCTTCCTTCCACACCTTATGCAATGGTGGTGTGAGCATGTCCACTGTTGTCCCTGAGTCTGTTGTCAGTGCTTCTGGTGAGATTCCATCTGGTCCTGCTGCTTTCCCACATTTCAGTAGCTTTATGGCGTTCAGGACTTCCATTTTTGTTGTAGATTTTATGTTCACTTGTAGTTCAGCGGCTGCAGGTAGTATTTCTGGACGAAGTGCAGGTGGTGGTCGATTCAAGAGCTTCTTGAAGTGGTCGACCCGTTGTTTCCTTTGTTTCTCTTCTTTCGTAATTAAATTTCCTTCATCATCTTTTATTGGTTTCATGTGTGTTGATCTCTCTATAACAGATAGTAACCTGGTTATTTGATACAATGTTGTCAGGTCTCTATCTCTCCTACCAGCAGTCTGTTCTGCTTCACTTGCCAGTGTGTCGTGGAAGTGTCTTTTGTCTTTCCGTGCACTCACTCTTCTTCACTTCTTTGTCCAGTGTAGTGTTTTATGCACTGTACTCAGTTCCTATTGTCGTTGTACATCCTTGCACTGGTTCATCTTCTGCTTCACCATCCTCCTCTCCCTGCTCTATCAGCTTCCATGTGTCCATCGAGATCCATTCCTTATCTTGTCTTCTTTCTTCTTCCTTCCTAATACGGTTGTGCAGGTTTCTTTCCACATCCCTTTCAAAGACTTCCAATGTTCTTCCACACAGGTTTCTTCAAGGATGTTCCTCGATATCTCGCATTTTGTCCTGATGGCTGTCGTGAAGATGTCCTTTGTAGTTTCGTCCTTCAGTTCAGTTTGTGTTCTGGGTGTTGTACTTGAACTGTGGTCAATCACCAACTTCCTTGAAGGCTTTCAACTTGATTTTGAGGGTGGATTCCTTGCACTAGGTAGTGAGTGGTGTGAACCTACATCTGCTCCTCTTCTTGACCTTGTGTCAAGTAGGCTGCGCCTCCACTTTCTTCACATTGAGATGAAGTCGATCTGATGTTTAGTGTGTTCTGGTGTCTGGTGAATCCGTGTTGCTTTGTCAATATTCTGGTGTTTGTACGCACTACCTCACTGCAATCACCAAATCGTTGAATGCACAGAATTCTGCAAACAATTCTCCATTCTTGTTCATCACCTCACCGAGTGCCCTCTCGACCCATGGTTAGTTCTCCTCCTGTGTTGTCTGCTCCCAGTTTGGCATTCATGTCACCCATTAGAATTTTGATATCGCCAACTTGAGTGGTGTCTTGTCCAGTGTTGATTGCAGTTGTCTGTAGAATTCCTCCTTCCTCTCTCGCTCTGCATTATTTGTAAGTGCGTAGCGTAGCGTAGCAATGAATGATTGTGACCTTCCTTCCTTCCTTCCTTCCTACCTTCCTTTTGAGGAGTGGAATCTTGCTGTCATGATCCTGATCCTGATCCTGATCGTGCAGGAGTAGATTGGTTCCCACTGCATGAGAGCCTTCGATGCTGTTGGGGACATCATGATAGCCACTCGGGAACTCAGTGTTCTTGTTGTTGTCGTCTGGGTGATAATATAGGTGTAGATTATTGATTGTCGAGTTGACAGTTTGGAGAGTTCACTTCCATTCCATCTGCTTACATCTCGCAAATTCCTAGCACTTCAATGTGATACCTCTTCATCTCGTTTGCAATCTGGGCTGCCTTGCTGGGTTCAAACATGGTTTGGACATTCCATGTCCCCACGTTTACTTTCGCTTTCACTAAGAGAAGTGAAGTCACATTGATCAATTGGCTTCCCGAAGGCTTTCACCAACCGGCGTGCTTTCGCCTCTCCGATTCCAGCAAGGAATAATTTTGTTATTATTTTTTATATTTTGTTTGTGCTTTGAAGTTTGTTTAGCGGTTGGATTTGTTTACCGTGGTAGGGTTGCTAGCCGTATGCCCAACCTTCCCTGTTTACCCGGGCTTAGGACCAGCTAGTAACTAGTGAACTAGTTAACTCTGCATAAATGGAGGAAAAAGCTGGAAGTGTGGTCCAGAACTTGTAATATGGCTGTGTATCCGAACTCAAATCAAGGCGACTTTCAATACTACAAAAGTTACTGTTTGGTGCCATACAACACTTTATCCCGCATGAACCCCAAGCAACAAGCACTCGAAACAAGATCGTGACGGCAACTGGGTCAATGCAACAGCTGTAATTTACAGGTGGAAGGTTACGGACACTATTTTTATGAGATACACTATTAACTCCCAGTTAGGCCTACATTATAAAAACCCATAAATGCCGTTTGGGATTAAATTGATTTGTATGCTTCAATCCTGTTGAACAGATTATGCAGACGACTGTTAACTTTGGAAGTAAAGATCAATTGCCATCGAAAGGAAAAATGCGTTTTAAATAATGAAATCCACTAACCATATTTTTCCCAATAAATCCTGAAGTAGCATTTAGTACGAACCACATGACGTAGTGACTCGATTTTGTCCATGTACGACCTTCCAACTAAGAATAGAACAGATAAATTCCATACAATGATAACTCCAAACAATATTAGGATGATTACATCGAATTACAGCGTGAGAATAGATAGTACCCAGTTCATTCGTAACTGCTTGGATATCAGAAAGCTAACTTACGTTACATCCTACCAGGAGAAAATCATATAACTGATGGTTACTGAAAGTAGCAGGCAAAATGGTAACGTTAAATCATGAAAAACGTAACTCATTTTAAATCGGAATAAGTGCTACAAAAGAAGAAAAATAAGTGTAACCAAGTAATACGAGTAACGTTCTTGCGATGGTCATGACTTCCACCTATTATACAAAGATTAATCGAAATATCCACCTAGTCTGATCTTAATGTGTAAATAGATTACTACGTCAGGATCCAAAGGTTGGAATCTCATTACAAAAATCAATTATACACAACTCCATTAAATAATATTATGCAACAATTAGACTGTCAAGCGGTCAATATTAAAGTGGGAACTAGTATTATTGAGTAACGGTCCAAGTTACCATACCTTACAACTGCACAATACGACCAAAAATAAAGAAATAAGAAATGAAATGCAACCAAAAGTCATACACGTTAGTGAGGAGAGGGGAAGAGGGGGCTGAAGTAGCAACGAAATTCGACATGACGGCCAAATTAAGATACTGAGTGGATGGATCTACGCCAGAGACTAATTCTGAGCCACAGCGACTATAGTCTACAACCACCGATTTACGTTGTCCGGTGGGCCCCAACCAAAAATTCTACGTTCCCCTGCATGGTTCGGAATAATAGTACACGATTTTACTGACTGATACCGCATTTTAGTCTGGTACCATCTTTAACATTCTTCATCATAAATCTATCTCAGTTAACATTGCACGTCTGATAAGTTGGTGACTATACATGCGAAACATGTATACCACCCACGTGAGATTTCGTCGGTCACTGATTCATTAAGGTTATCTAGAAGTACGTGAAGTGGGCCTTTTTAATATGTATACATTATGGTTTACTCGTTGATAAAGTTGATTATTTTATTACTGCTTATCCTTACATCACTGAAAGAGGCAAGTAATGGTGGTAGTGGTGTGGATGTGAAATATAAAAAACTTCAAGGACTCTTTCAAAAAAGACTGAAGAGATTGATTAGCATCTATAACCACGTCGTGTGATTCACGCAAACAAAAAATAAAGACAGGTGCAAACAAAGGTGTGCGTTTAGCCTCTATAATAAGTCAATAGAAACAATCCCGTAGCTTTATCTGGGTACTCGTCAATCCTACTGGGTAACGACAGCATAGGCAATGTACCATCCTTTCATTGCGGAATTTCGCGTTTACTGGCAACCATTTATAAGGGAATGAACAGTCGTTATACAATAACTATGGTTGGATTAAATGGGAATGTCTGTGAGGTTAGGTCCGTCACCAAAGAAATCAATTTAGAAAAAGTGGAGGCTGGACTCCCGAAAACACGAAGTAATGTTATATAATCTAAAGATACGATTATTGATTTTTAAAAAACTGATGTAAAGCTGATGTACAGTTCAAAAATTTAATTTTGTAAAAACCACTGAAACAGGAAAAACTGCAAACTTCATTTAAGTGAATGCTAATATGATCTACATCTATAAAAACTTCACTTACTTTCGTGTTTAGCTTGACAATAATTTCGTTGAATCTAACAGTACTATTGAGCATGAAGGTAATCATGACACTAATTAAATGTTCGAACATCGTACGATTCCATGGCTCATTGTTCGTGCTTTCCAAAAGTTCCATAACCTGGACGATTAATTCCACCAACGCAAGTTCTAGGCCCACAGACCGGGTTTTCTTTCATAGCGAAAGCAGTAACAGTATGAGTGACAGTGGTGTCGAAGGAAATAATATGAAAATCAAAAATACAGGTTTAGATTTCCATTGTACTGATAAGTCTTACAAACATAGCAAGCTCTTGCTAAATCAATATAGCACTGAGTGGCAAATACGAAATAACATCAATGTTTTAGTAACACGCTAAAAACGCTGCTGTATTACCAAGATGAATCACTTTTCACCTAGGTGGCACAATAAGCTGCTACCTTAGACCAAGCAAACGGACGTGTGATCAATCCTTTACATTTGTGAAGAGAAGTTGTTCTCGTTCTCAATGTTAAACAAAAAATGTATCAGTTTGAGGCGATTTGCAGTTCTGCTAAGCCAGCACTGGTAACCAGCCTCTTTCATTATGAATTTATGTGATGAGTAAACTTCTGAAATAAGAAATTTTGGAACTGGTAAGGCATAGATGCTAGCAATAGCATCCGAAAAATCACTTTAAAGAAGAAAGTTTAGTAAGTGGAGTGAATTTCAAGATTAATGCCGTACCACTACGTTGATTTACGAGCACATTAGCTTAGCCGACTACTTAAGTGAACAATACGATGAGGGTTTGAGAAAACGTATGTAGATCTCTACCTCAAACTGACATTGTAGTTGATGATGAAGTCGCCTAAAGACTGAGTCACAGTTCAGTCGAACAAACAAAAACCAGTGTAGGATTTCAAAATAACCTTAGGGCATCATTCCAATGACTGAACAACAATCTATCTAAAAATATAAATTTCTAGTGAGTTTGCTTTTATTCGACAGAGAATCTTATCAGATGAACATGTGTTTCAGTCTCCCAGACACTTAGTTTAGCGACTACATTATGCTCTCAACATTTGTCAAATTCATCGCGGACGACTAAATAGTATCTTTACGTTTTACTCAATAGCTGTCGCCCATAGTTTGATACATGAAACAGTTTTATTGCTGTCGACTTTACAATATGAACTTAGAATACGTGAAACAAACCAACAAACAAAGTTTGGTATCAGCATATATTACGCTCTACTGTATTCACTGACAGAGACATTCAGTCTTCATATTTATGGTAGGTCTTAGGCTCTTATCTCTACCACAAGTATCGGTGCATCGATATATCGGTATAGTGTTCAAGTATCTAGCTGTCATTTTGCACTGAAACAGAAGTATATTACCTGATTTAATTTTGCAGGTCAATGTTTATTATTAGAGAGTCAATGATTTTACTAAATCTAAACACTGAATCCAGCTTATCACCAAAAACATAGGCATTTAAAGGATTTTAAATCAAGAGAACTCACAACTTTCCCACTCGCTGGATCAAGCATACCAGTTGTTAATTCAAAACTACGAAGTTGACCCAAAACATTGCATAAGAGAGGTAATTGTGAGCTTGTAAGAAAGTTTGGATAACGCATTGCGCCTTTGATGGATGTTAGAACAAGATTAGATGAATCAAGTCTGTAACTTGGAGCGCTTAACGACGTGATACCGCAAAAAGGAGTCATCGCGTGATAACTATTAAGTGTAAAACAGTCAGTGTTGAAATATATCCAAACAAAACTAAATACATGCGAAAAAGCATAATAAGATTAAGCCTTAGCAGTCGAGAATAAATATCATATCGAATTTAATCACTTTTTAGTCAACAGCTTGAGGAAAAATACTCCAAGATACAGAAGAATTACAGGTACACCAAAAGACAAGAACAAAAGTAACGTGAGTCAGAATCCTAGAAAAGGAAGGAAACAGGCAATGGGACTGAATTACTAATATTGGTATTTTTCAATGAAAAACTATGTTTGCTGTTTTATCGACTCAGACTAGCGACCATGGATCAATTTGCCGAACTTGAAATACACTCCATAATCCAACTTTTGTCGGCATGCCAGAAATACACAAACCTGTCACGTACGGCAAACTTAGTTGATCGGACGAAAGTTGAACCAGATCATAGCGTGAGGCCGAGTACGTAACAGAAGGCTAACAAGGTAGAATATCTTGCACCAAGAAAGTTTGAAAATGAAAATCCAAGTTGTTTGATTTACTGAATATGGTTAGATTCATCTTAATCAAGAAAACATAAATCCACTGGATAAACAGATTAAATATGGATGCAGCTCAACACAACACCAACACCATCTTTTATAGCGAATAAATGCTCAAGTTTACACCAGATTTCTGGATGCCAATAGACTCTGTTGACCAAGATAATTTGCAGTGCTGAGGGTTGTTGTCAGGCAAACACCACTGTATCAGAGACTGTTCTCACAAATATTTGGTTGTCATAGTAACTCAATTAAATCATTTTCAGTGTGGGATTTCAGTCCATACAATATGCTAACTCCTCCCACCTTTATTTTTATTACACACGTATCAGTGGTCGTCCCTCCCACTTTCCTGATTTTACACGGATTGATCTTGCTGGAAGTTTCTCGATCAACTAAAAAGCAGATGGAGAAAAACTTCTACGCAACGACCACGAACAGCGGTGGGCACCGAAGGCTAAAGAGATGTAAAAGGCAGTGGCGATAGGTAACAGTAGGCAGTTACTTAGACTTATTAAGGAAACTGGGGGAAAAAGGTCGACTGCAGTTAGTGAGACCATAGCGGAGCAGGACGGATCTGCGATTCACTCGCAGGGGAGACGGCTGGAACAATGGGTAGAACACTTCGAGAAGCAGTTTAACTGGCCTCCAACCACTATTACGTTGCCTGCTATCCAGTCAGATCCTGAATGGAGCATTGAGATAGGCCCCCCAACACCAGCAGAAGTCGAGAAAGCAGTAGGTAACCTGAAACGAGGAAGGGCAACAGGACCAGACGGACTAACTCCTGAGGTATACAAGGATGGTGGTAAGGTAGGTGCTCTTAGTCAGGTTAACGGAAGTGCTAACCAGTATATGGGAATCAAATACGATCCCCTCTGACTGGTCTAAGTCACTGATTATCCCCGTCTTCAAGAAAGCCGAGAGGTTCTCTTGTGATAATCACAGACAAATCAGCCTGACGAACATAGTGTCTAAGATTCTAAGTTCCATAATTCTTCGACACCTGAGTGGAGCTCGCGAACAACAAGCCCGAGAAAAGGAAGCAGGCTTTAGACCTGGCCGCGGATGTATCGACCAAGTATTCACACTATGCCAGGTTTTGGAACACAGACACGCTTACCGGCGCCCGACACTGGCTGTATTTCTCGACCTGAAGGCGCCATTCGACTCCGTTGATCGAGAAGTCTTATGGCAATGTCTTTCATTGAAAGGCGTGCCGAACAAGTATATCGCCTTATTGAAGGCTCTCTACTAGAACACTTGTGGGCGTGTTAGAGTCTATGGTGAGATGTCCAGGGAGCTATGCTCATCGAGCGGTGTTCGTCAAGGATGCCCACTCTCTCCATTATTATTCAATTCTATCATAGATATTCTCATGGAGGTCTCCCTCTCATCACCTTACTACACAGACGTTGACCTAATCACAGGAGAATTTTCATTAGACCTAGAATATACAGATGACATAGTCCTGTTAGGTGAAGACGCTGACAACATGCAGAGTCTTCTGAACACTGAGTGGCAATTTGAGAATGCTTGGGATGCGTTTCTCACCACCCAAATGCAAATTATTGCTTTTCAACGGTGCCACGGCTAACAATAGAGATTGTAGTGATTGAGTGTGTCGACCACTTCACTTACCTGGGAAGTAGGATCAGCCCTAGTGGCTCAGTGGCCGATATAATCTCTGCACGGATACAAAAGGCTCGATTGGCTTTCGCCAACTTACGCCACCTATGGCGCCGCCATGATATCCGTTTGTTTATTCAGTCACGTGTACTGCATCTGCACAGTAGTCCGGTCTGTTCTACTGTATGGCTGCGAAACATGGCTATTGAAGGTGGAAGACATGAGAAAGCTTTAAGTGTTTGACCACCGTTGCCTTCGTCGTATAGGCCACCGTATTCCGTGGTGTCACCATGTGAGTAAAGCACACGTCAGGTATAGAGTCTTAGGGAGTAGAGGTAAATCAGTTGACCAGGTTATGAACCCTCATCGACTGAGATGGTTGGGACACATATTACGAGTGCCTAGTCGCCGATTGCCTCGCCACACAATGTTGGCCGAAGTAG